AAATGGCAAAGAAAGAATTATTTGCTGCTACTGGATAGCAGAGTGTCATGTCACAAGTTCAAAGGAAAATTAGTAAATTGATCTGTTATACATAGTACCCAATCATTCCGTGTTAGATCATCTACCGTCAACACTTCATAAGTAGATTGCTATCTCCTGCGATAATGGCAACATCGTAGTTGTCTCAAACGACCACAGCAACGTCGTGGACCTCTTCCACGATTACGGCAACGTCGTTATCATCTCTCATGATCACGGATATATCATGGTAATTTACCTCAAACACAAAATGTGTGACATGACGACCTCAAAATATAACAAACGAAACTTTGTGTCTGATTATTGTCATTATTGTATAATTATTAAAAACGTAAAATTTCTCGTCACTATAAAAAGACATTCGTAAAATTCATGGACACACTATAGGCCATCCGGTTTTCGTTTGAAATGAATTAGTTTTATATTTCCTTTTCACGCGATTTGGCCGTTGACATTCCTTAAAATGAAAACAAAATTCAATAGGTGTACATACTTGGCAATCTTTCAAAACAAAACTCTAGTTTAGTTTCGAATTCTTCAATTTTATTTGTCAGTTGCTATTTATGTTTTAAAAGAAGCGGTTAGGCCTACCCATTTATTTGCTAGGCATATATTTTATTTTTAGTGGAAATGCAAATAAGACAGCTGGGCATCTAAACAAATAAAGTCACATTTTCGTAATAATACAGCAAAAACAGTCGTTTTTAATGCATGCATTGTGGGTTTAAAGTAGCATTTTTACTTTCTAGGGAAAAATCAGCTGTTGTAATTTGTAGTAAATTTTGATTGTGGCAATCGTATTTATCGAAATTATTTATCGATTGATTTAGGGCTTTAGCCTGTTTTTGTCGATTGCTCGACATATCAATGGTATAATAACACAATCGTAATAGACGAAATAATTGAATTACTTACTAAACAGCTGCTTATTTGCATAAGCAGAATTGGAAACAAGCTGGAAGTCGTTTTGAGAGGTCACCTTTAAATACAAATTATTTAGTTTTCTAGCTTTGCTTTTGTTAATTGATACAATATGAAGAATATTTAGTTATTTAGGGAAGAAAATATCAAAGAAATCTTCTCAAACATATTAGTTTTTTTATTTTTTCACCGCTTTGTGTAAATAAATGCCTGCATGGGCATAACTTTTCTTAGTGAGAGGTTATGTCTCAATTCATCAAACGTTCAGGAAACAAGAAACAAACAACAAACGAATATACTTTTTTTCTCCAGTTAGACACTGTATCTTCAATATTTAGAAACCCCTGGTCTATGAACCAGAAGAACAAAGACTTCGGAATGAAGTATTGGTTATAAATCAGCAATTTTTCAAGCCATATTAGAATTTTACATTTCTGCTGCCATTATTATGTATAACTTAGATATGTGCCTGCCACAAACCGCCATGGAATAAGTAGCGCTAGAAATATTTATATTTGTTAAAAAGAAAAAAAAATTTAATTTTGTTTGTTAAATTTTTGTGAATCAATTGGACCTCGCCGAAAAGTTTTGCAAACGTGGTGAGGCCAAGATTTTGTACTATCACAAATAAATATATTTGAATTAGAATTTGAATCACACGGACAAAAAGTGACTGTTTAACCCTTGCTCATTTTCCGACCTCAGCTTCGCCTTGATTGTTAAACGTGACCTTTGGTCAAAAAGAGTCACTTTAGGCCCTAGTGACAAAATATACTATTTTGTCTGTTTATTGCGTAGAGTGATGAAGTTTTTTTTTGTTATTTTTAAGATCCACATCTTAAGATATCCAAAACAACTCTTATTTCAATTTCTGTCTGTTTGTTTGTTTGTCTGTCTATTATAGTGTCTGTAACGCCAAAATGCCAATTTACGCGGCCTACTCCGAGAAAACTAGAGTACCCATCAAGATTTAAATAATTTTCCCTTATTCAATGGGTTGGTGAAAGTGTCTATTAAAACATGGTTACTTTGGAAATAAAATAACGAACCTTCAACGACCCAATTTTGAGAGATTTTTGTTTCTCTGAATGTTTACTACGAATGTATGTCATTAAATGGCGTATGTCTGTTTAATTAAATGACGTTGTTGGTCTGATTACTTCTTGCGCGGACTGTACTAGCACCACGGTGGTGGAGTCACTTTTGGCACTAATGATACTCGGACCTTTAAAAACTCCGACAAATGATATTTCAACATTATTTTAAACTCTTTTAAAGCCTCTGACAAATGAAAGCTCGGACAGTTGATTTAACCAAATACTATTATTCCAATTTAAACCATCCTTGGACAAATGAAAACTTGGACAGTTTATTTATTGAAGTATTATTAGTTATTTATTAAACCTCGTACAAATGAACCTCGGACAACTGATTTTCCTAATATTTTATAATTTTTAGCAAACTTGGACGACTGAAAACTCAGACCTCAACCAATAAATTAAACAGTTTCGTTTTTATATCAGTGCGTTGTAATATAATGTCAGCGTTGACTCTGAAATAGGTGCAAAGGTTACAAACTCCAGGCGCTGCCGGTGCGGCGCAGCTTTATTGTTTTCAAATGCTTATATCTCGAAAACGGCTTGAGATACGGCAAAACGGTTAAAATTCTAGCACACTACGTGGGTATGAACTTTTTATTATAAACAATAATAAAGCATAAAAAATCTAAAAATCTAAAATTATTTTAACATTATTTTATATGGGTAGCCAACCACTTTATTGAATAAGCCAGTTTATACATTGAATAAGCATTTCTGGCTGGACGTGAAAGTAAATAATCGTTAAAACAACGCTTTTCTGGCTTGCAACTACTGTAATTAATTTAAAATACATTTAAAATTTACTAATGGTTCACGTATTAAGGATAACAACTAATTATTCGGTTAAGTTTGCATTAAGATGCATGCACTGATTATTCAAAACATGTAAACTAGGACTTGAGAAAGCTACAACCAAACGGGTATTTTTCACTTTGTGTACGTATCACACTGGAGGGATTATTCCCACGATCTGCTACACATGTTAGAAATGAGGACTTGGGTGGCGTGAGGACCTAACGCAAGCGAGACTAGGGAAGTGTGGTGGGGGGAGTACCTAACGTCGGCATGAAGGAACGTTAAGTACTCACCGCAGGTCCTCACCATCGAGCACTTATCGTCGTCCTCATGCTAGAATGAGGACTTAACGTCGGCTCAGTCAAACTATATAAATATATATGTATATATATAAATATATATATATGAATTTGAACGGATGGTGTTTTTTCTCTAGGGACCTCAAAATGAAAAAGTAAATAAGTCCCGGGTCCAGGTCTTACCATGAGTACTACGGTAATAGCTTATTCCCTATATGGGAAATTCGCTAAAAGGATTAAGTATAAACACCGTGCTGCCGTGGACGCCAGGACCTGCTTAAACTTTAATAGCTATTTATCTTACAAGTGTAGTAAGAGCATTTTTATATCACGCAGGTGAATGTTGTGCAACGAGCAGAAGCGAGTTGCATAATTCACTTAAGTGATATAAAACACGCTCTTGCGTAACGTACAAGATTTTACCTGACCCGACAACATTAGGAAATATTTTTCATTATCCATTTCAATCATCTTCTAACAGTCACGTTTTTTTACAAACAAAAGCTAGGTTAGGAAAATTCTTAAGCTAGGTATGTATAGAAAAATTCTTTAAAGCATTACAAAAAAATTCAAGCGCACAGCTGATTTCTGAACGTCGTTGGCTCCGTAGAGGTATATTTTTTTAGTTAAGCACTCAATGTTATTTAAATGGGTTTCATTACCATACTTCAATAGTGAGTTTTTGAAACTTTACTTCACTCGTGAAGTAAAGAAGTTGTTTACATCACGCTTGGGATAGGAAAGTTTAACATGGCGGGTTGGGTAAAATTACAAAACATGTTTATTATTTAGTTGATAATTATATATGTTTTAATGAAAACCAAAATTATTTCCTTTTTTAGTTCACAGAGAATGTGTCAAAAGACCCACAGAAAACTTAGTTAAACTGTTTGTAATCAATTATTAAGGAAATTGACAGGAATTTCTACTTTTGTGATGTTTATTTTATGTGTCTCTATGGACTTATTTAAAGGTAAGCCTGCTTTCCTGTCAATTTCCTTAATAATTCCTGGCAAATGCCCTATCTTTTTATCAGATGTTTCTAACCAATATTAGACTTGAGATAGTTACTGTGACTGTGAGTGCTTTCTACAGTACCTACTAACTTTGCACACATAATGTGTGGTTTTGAAATGTGTCTCTGCACTATAGTGTTTCCCCCGGCCCACTCACAATAGTTCTACAATTTGGACTGCTCCCAAGGTGACCCACTGTCCCCTTGCCCAGGGGTCTAGTGGTTAGACCTCGGGACTTTGATGCAAGGTCCCGGGTTCAAATTCCGCCAAATCACCAATGGATTTTATCTAAAGGTCAAGTCAAGTAATGTGAAAAAATAATCCCGGGCTCGTGCCTAGCCTCCTAGGACAAAAAAGGTGTCCTAACAAGACTCAACATTAGTACCAGGGGACCATTTCAATTGTATAAGGAATATAAAGGAAACTCACGTTTTTACAACTAATTTTGGCTTTTATTATTAATGTTCCAGTTTATATACGCATGTTTCAAGTATTTTTTTTAAACTTTTTACTTGTTATTTTGTTTAACCAACATAGTTACTTGGCAGCCCATAAAGCTAATATAAATTTTTATTTAAATTTCCAAAAGAGTTGTTGTAGTGAAATACAAATTTTCCTGAGGTAGTGGCTGTCACTAATCACGTTTTTAAGGCTATAAGTCCCTAATTTCAAAATTTTGTAAAAATCCTTCTGCTGGATTTCGAGATACATATTACAGACAGACAGACAAACAGACATAGCTCGTATTAGAATATAGGATAGGATGCCAAAAACGATAAGCTACAAATTAGGTTCTTTGAACTTGTTATAAAAGCAAAAAGTTTACTTACAATAGTCTCAAACGCCAGGAAGGGTGGCTGGCCGTACACTATGTGAGCTCTCAGTTGTGACCTCATCTGAGCTGACAGCACGGGCAGAGGTAGAACTTTGGTCTTACTCTGACCTGTGTCTGCTGCTATGGTCACTGTCACCTTGGGCTTCAGCGGCTTCTTACTTTTACTGTAAAACCCATCAACTTGATAACTGACCATTTTGATAGGTACTCAAGGTTGTATCGTTTAACAAAATGACTTACATTTTAAGTACCGGTAGAGATGTGTCGATAACAAAATTGATCGATTCTAGATACAGATACCTAAAACTTTATTCTCAGTACCAATACATTTTTTTTAATTTTACCAAATTTTCAAAATGGATTGGTAAAGGTTCGGCTATACTACATAGAAAAGGACACAGAAAGGAAAGGACAATGAAAGGAAAGGACAATGAAAGGAAACAATGCGGAGAAAATTATGACGTCAGGACTACAATACACTGGACAGAACTTGGGAAAAAAACTGCCAGGAACATACATTGCAAAATCTTTGCAGATGTGTCTCCTGGTATTGGTATCAATTCTCCATACCAATACACAGTGGTATTGAGAATCAGTATGGAGAATTGACAAATCCCTAATTAAGTAATTATTTTAAGATAACATACTAATATTCCTACCTTAAACCTTATTATAGAGTATTAATCTATTGTAAACTACCGCAACTTCCATGTCATATCAAAAAACAAATAAAGAATATCTAAATTCTGACAGCAGTGCACTCATTTGAGTAGTTCCAGTAACAACAACTGGTCCACATAGATGTGTTGTCCACTACAGTACCTTAATATAAATGATAAAAACCTATTTGATTTCTGATGGTAAAATGGCTTACCCATTGAGCTGATGTGAGAATAAATGAAGTACACCACTTTGTGTTACTGTGACGACGTTGGTCAAACCTTCGTCTGTGACGTCGACAGACACACTGCGAGCCAGATCACTCAACAGAAACGAACCAACAGCATTACTGTCTGCACTGGCACTCAAGCACCTGTCAAACAATAATTAATGCACAACAATTAATAATGCTTCAGTATAAGTATGCATTAGAATACTATGCTAAATGTCTACAATATTAAAATAAGAGGTCATTGAGTAAAAATAAGAATGATGGCTATTTCATCAATAAATTCACAATGTATTTGTTACCAATTCACATAACAAATATATTTTATGGACCTTTTTTTATATATATGTTTTAAATTCTGATTCCCCCTCACTGATTTTTGGACGCCTGCAGAACGTGCTAGAGAATTAGTTAAAGAAAATCCACTTATTGGGAATGTGGGGTTTTTCTAAACAGGCTGCCTGATTTAACAGTCTATTTTACATGTGTATTAAATAGTGCTTTTGAGACATTATTGCTAGAATGGAGGGAAACCTTTAACCATTATTATAAGAACAAAAACATTACAAGCAATTCATTATTGTTCTCTCCCTTGCTCCTAGGATGAACCAATTCCTAGGAGTTTTTTTTTTTACCAAAAGGTCATCAATTTAAGTCAATGATAAAGCTATATCATTAATTTTAGATACAACTTTAGATTAAAGAAATACCCTGATATAATGGTTTTGTAAATCAAATAAGCCTAACTAATTTATACAAAAATAAATAAGGCTAAAATGTTATGGTATAAAGTACTGTATTTACTATTTTTGATAAATATGAACATAGTATTTAACAAGGGTTTTTTGTAACAAATATATAGCCTACCAATTTTTATAGAACTTTTTTGGTAGCTGGTGACCTTTTTAACCCATTGACGACGACTCAAGTGTGTAGCCCATCACCGCATTTTGCAGCGAAATAGTCGTACTGCTAACCCACTGGCCCTCAAGGAGTATGTCGAATCCAACCTACAAGCGCTAGTGTAAATCTCAATAGTCAAATGTTAAGTTATTGCCAGTTTTTAAACAAAAATCTTCTTGGTTGATGTTAATTCCTATATATGTTTTCAATGTGAAATATGAAAAAACAACTAACCTAACCAGAGCTATGGACATAGGCCTTAGGGTGTTAAATCTATAGGCTATTGCAACCAGATAGGCACTAACAGAATTCAAATATATTCCTCACCAAGCACTAAGTAGCCGATCGTTTTGTGCTGCACTGATCAAGTAATTGTCGCCAGTTGATGATGAGACTGGAAGCAGTCTGAACACAGGCGAGGCGTGCCCAATGAATGATTTGACAACAGTCTGTGTGGCGACATTCCAACATTTGATGCTCCGTGCCGCTGTAATCAACATCTCTCCATCCCTCGTCACCGCCATAGCCGTAATGTTCTCCCCATTCTTCCACTTGCTGTAAATTACCAGTATTTGTTATCATAAAGAATAACCTAGTGAGAAAATATTATGTTTTGTTTACAAATACCGCCGTATATTGTAGTTTAGCAATTAAGGAGAGCTAAGCCCCGTTTCGAAACATGTTAGAATTTTCTAAAGATCGATCTGGCAAACTTCTGATTACTGTAGAAAGTAGGCGAGCACTTTGTCCTCTCAACTACCCAGATATATTTACATTTAGTTCATAGGCTAGAATAGTGCCATGGTGGAAGGAAAAACATAAGTGTCATATTCCCGTCATATACTGATGTCACCCAGATTGCAAACCCCATTTTACTATTAAGAAAAAATATGTATATAGGTAAAAAATACCCCCGCCACAGCAAACCTGCACACTTAGCGAATTTCCATTTGTCTCATTGGATTTAAACTAAAATGTCTCCTTAAAAATATCACATTTATTCCCTACTAGCTGTAACCCACGGGCTTTGCCCCGTTTAACTTCTTAATTTTCAAGATTATCTCGTTCGCATGGCTCAATCACGTCCTTGTTGAAGTTTGTTCGCTACGCTCACTCACCTTTAGGTTGGAGCTCATTCGCTGCGCTCACTTGCCTTCAGTTTAGCTCGTTCGCTTCGCTAACTCGCCTCCAGGTTGAAGTTCGTTCGCTACGCTCACTCACCTTTTGGTTGCAAATTAGCTGTTGTCATAAATGTAAAAGAAATAATAGTGCTGCACCCTGTTGGTAATCCTTGTAACTTTAATGCTATTGAACATCATAGAACAGGACCAACTTGTTTAATTGAAACAGCTGTTAAGATTCAATAATTCCATTTCTCATTAGGTTAACATGGGAAACTCCAGAGCCACTGGGGCGGAGCCCGAAAGGATTTTTGAAATAAGAATATGCCTATATGTTAATCGGGAATGTCAGCTATCATCATGCCAAATTTCAGCCCAATCCGACCAGTATTTTTCGCGTTCACTTGTCACAAACATACAAACATACATCCATACATCCATACATCCATATATCCATACATCCAAACTTTCTCATTTATAATATTAGTAGGATTTAAACAGAATTAGTTGAATGAGTATTTAGGTTTGCTGCAACAGGGAGGATAAAAAAGTTGTTTTTTCATGTAAAATGTTACAAGGTACTGTGGTTTAGTAAGAAATTAATGTATTTTCCAAATTTTACTAAAATATGTTCATAAACAAGCAAACTACAAGAGTTGACTTATTCTCCATAAGAATAACATGGGAATTTTAAAATTACATTTTTTTTTATTTTTCTGTAACAATTAGGCGCATAATAACGCTTCAATGTACTAAATTATTTGTTTTTTTTTAAAGCTCTACAAAATGGTTTAAAAAGAAATTGTGAAATTTTGTGTTTTTATGGTCAAAAATGGGAAAAACCTATTTTTACCCCATAAAACCCACCATAAACCCCCGTTCCCATAGTCCAATCATGCTGGTTCGTGAACTCATTCAAGTTTATCGGCCGCCTTACACCTCCAAACCAAATTTCATCAAAATCGGACAAAAATTACTAAAGTTATCGTGCGGATGAACACATATATATATATCTCTCTCTATAGATATATAAAAATTTGAACGAATGGTGTTTTTGGCCTCTGGGGACATCAAAATGAAAAAGTAAATCGGTCCCGGGCTTAGGTCTTACCATGAGACCTACGGTAATAGCTAGCCTACTTCCCTATAGGGGTATTCGCTTAAACAATCAAATAAAACAAATATATACTAATGTAGTTACAATCAGTTAATTTTCTGTTAGCAATCTGGGAGACATCAGCCTATGACCGGAGTATCACAACCTATGTTTTTTTCTTTCCACCATGGAATTGTGCTACATTATTTACAGTTGGTTTATATTATACTAGCTGCTGTACCCGTGCTTCGCAACAGGAAGAAAAATCAATTTCATAATCATTGAAATAGATTTAGAATAAATAATCCATCATCAAGTTTTAGATTAAATAATCCTGCCACTTAGTTGTGTAAAATATACAGGGTAGCCAAAAAGTCCCTTTACACTATAAAGGTAAATTCAATATTGTTGTTGAATAAAACCATATAAATCTGTTTTAATCAGATATTGTTGACTACACCAAGTGAACATAATTTTTTGTCCAAAACATCGGCATGCATGCCTCTATTGTCTCGACAAAGCTTGACTCGACGCCAAGTTCGTTGACTCATTTGTTTCAGCATTTCTGGGATGACTAGTGCAAACGCCGCCCTTACTCTCTACTGGGTGTCGCCGCGTCCTAGAGCTGTAGCGGTGGTTGAGAAGGGAGAGTGAGGCTTCATTCTCTTCCCCACTGTCGATTATACGTACAATTATTTGCTGATCATTCGTGTAAATTAAAGTGTAATATGTACTTTAATATTGTGTAAAGGGACACTTTGGCCACCCTGTATTTAATTTCTTTGGATCAGCCATCTGAAATTGTGAAATGAGCATTTGGCAGTTCTGTTTGTTTACTAATTTCAATGACAGGGGAACATTGTGAATTTTCCCAAGCTTCCATGGAAACCAATTAATATTTACTTTTCAAAACCTCACCTCAAAACTTTGGACGTCCAAGGGAAGTAGCCCAAGAAGAACTCAGGGAAGTGAATATGCCTATGACATTTCTAGGTATGTGGACCACCTTTGTACTTAATTTTGGCTTTATCGGTTTAGTAAGTCGTGACAGCTGCCCAGACAGACAGATAGACACCACCTCAATTTTATAGTTAGTATAGTATAGATACATAATACAGTGGGCTACATTTATAAAAGTAAGTGATAACTCGCCACTTGATGACGATACATTTCCAAACGTATGTTGAATTGCTTCTACTTTAGGTTGGATGACATTGTACTAGTTGGCCCATAAATCTTAATCTGTTAGTATTTATGGCAAATTAGTGTATTTTCATAAAGTTACAGGGAGAAAATGTTGTAAGACTTAACGAAACAAGAACATCAATATCAAATACCGGTTGGATACTCTTAACAAAATAATAACACTTGGAACCAACACAAATATGCCTGCCTATTTTAATGGTCTTCCTAATTTAAATCTTGATTACCTTCTCATTGTTTTATTTGTCACATCCCAATGAACAAATTTGTCAGTCGTACAGCTAAAAAGGTCAGCCGTCTTCTCCCAACTGAGACAAAGCACAGGCGATTTGTGGCCATCGTTTAAAGAACTTACTATACTTCCCTCAGCGACACTGTACACTACAATGGAGCCAGACTGTGTGCCCAACACTACGAGGGGGGAACCCCCTTGACCATCTGATCGTTTCTTGCGCTTCTTTTGTTGAGGGCCCACCTAAAAAAAAAAAAAACAACTCACTGTACTTACAGCTTTTCAGCTAAATTAAACAACACTTTTACTGGTCGAATTTTCAACGAGTTTACCCCCCAAACTTACTCCCCAGGTACATGATGTTGATACTGTCGTGTCCGTTAAAGTGTCCTCTATCTGTTGGCATCATCGGTAATATGTATCGCGGACGTATTTTCCTGCAAAACGGCCAGCAATAGATTTTATCGGGCGCGCACACTACTTATTGCTGATTTTACCCCCCCTAACTTACTCCCCAGGTACATGATGTTGATACTGTCGTGTCCGTTAAAGTGTCCTCTATCTGTTGACATTATCTGTAATATGTTGGTCGTATTTTTCCGCAAAACGGCCAGCAATAGATTTTTTAAGGCGCGTGCACTAGTTAATGCCGAGTTATTGCCAGGTTCACACCAATCAGACGCGTATCCTCTGTGTTAAAATTAATTTTAACATGTTTCTTTTAACTTATTTTTCGATGTAGCCTACTTATGGGCTGTAGTTCTGTAGGGCATAGACGATATATTATCGGATGAATGACTTAACGATATATTTGAAAATATATCAAATCCGTTTTGATTATAATAGGGCTTATCTTATCGTAATGATTTTATTTGTAGGCTACCATTTGATATAAATAATACCCCCGCCGCAGCAAACCTGCCGACTAAGCGAATTTCCATTTGTCTGAAATGATTTTCAGTTAAATGTATTTAACACACATTAGGTTTTATGTGTACTGTACCTAGGCTTGCTGCTACATGGAGGGTAAAAAAAGTCGGTTTTTTTGTAAAATATTAATTACTAAGTATAAAATAAATAAATTTACAAAGTTTGATCAAAACAAATACATAAACAAGCAAACTACAACATTTTACAATATTCTCCATAAGAATAACATGGGAATTTTAAAATAACAATTTTTTTAAATTTTCTCCGTAACCAATAACTGTACAAAAACACGTTGACATACTAAATTAACTTATTTGTTTTTTTAAGCTCTTTAAAAAGGTCTGGAGAGAAATCGGGAAATTTTATGTTTAGAGGGTCAAAAATTAGAAAACCCAATTATTACCCCATAAAACCCCGTTCCCATAGTCCGATCATACTGGTTCGCAAACTCATTCAAGTTTATCCTGCCTTACACCTTCAAACAAAATTTCATCAAAATCGGACAAACATTACCGCACTCAAGTTATCGTGTTTACGGACACATGTATCTGTACATAGGCCTATTTAAAAATTTGAACGAATGGTGTTTTCGGTCTCTGGGGACATCAAAATTAAAAAGTAAATCGATCCCGGGCTTAGGTCTTACCATGCCACCTAAGGTAATAGCTACTTCCCTATAGGGAAATTCGCTAAAAACAACAATAACATTGACAAAGCTTTTTATTGATTTTATCCCTTGATTTCATTTAAATATTTACAGGGTGTCTACTACATTCTGGATAAAAAATTCATGGACAATTCCTGTACATTTAAGGACACTTTGTCGTAACCTTTGTCGGTGTGATTACCAAATAATTTTCCTGATTTGTCAAACTGTATAATCTTGTTCTTCACTGTAGTTGTGCCAGAGAGAAAAGTAAATAATAATAGACAAGAGTTAAATATAAATTTATTGATAGTAAACAAACGTATACTTTAGGTAAAGCTTTTATAGTGTAATAGAGAAACGCAATCATTGTCTCATGCGATAGCGACAAAATCCTGAATATCTCCATCAGTCACTGAAACATCATAACATAGTTTATCCGATCCAGGCGGATTAATTTGGCATAATTCGCCCTGGCACAACGTTAGGTTCTCGACTACTTTAAAAAAAATAAATAATAGTCTTTAATGCGTATTGTAACTCAGTTCTTGGTACAAAATCGGTATGGTAAGCGGCTACCAGTAAGCACAGAGTAAGATAACTGTCTTTTCATTTGCAAAGTTAATATCGACACATAGCAATCATTAGTTTATCTTAGGCACAATTACATTTTATTAGTATATTTTACAGATCTTTCAAAGAATCAAAATACCCAGGCCTAGACCTAAATATTTAGGAGGGCCTATATAAACTGAGTAAAAAACAATGAGGTTATAATACCAGCAGTCATTATCATCATTTTAGTTCATAAGCTTTAGATTGCTTAAAGCATACAACACAATAAATAAATGTGGGGAAACAAAAAACATTGAAAACAGAAAATGCAATGACATAATTTGAAACCAAGTAGGCCTACATAGTGATGAAAAATTAATGCAAACAACAATGCTTGTGGTTTTGTCAATTGAAAGATAAAATATCCATAAAAAAGGGTTTAACTTACAAAATAAAACTGTAGATTAGTTACATGTTCAATATGAAACTATAAACAGTTTTATGGCACTAGGCAATGGCCGGCGGCAAATTGAATCTTCAAGACGAAAGTACAAGTAAGAAGTGAAATTTAACAGCCATTATAAAACTGTTATTTTCATGATAAAAATAGGTTTGGGATCTCGATCTAATAATAATTACCCAGGTAATAAATAAAGAAGGAATAAAAGTGATACAACTTTTATGAGCTAGCTACTGAGTCAACAGTTCTTGGAAGTACTTGACTTGACACTTGATTGTCGTGATAAACTATTTAATGGGTTTGAGACTGCTAATGGGATTTTTATTGCATAATTACTCTTGTAATAAGTTATGAAAATGTAAACAAACATATGATAAATTAATTATGTGCTCATAACCAACTCGCAATCGATAATAAAATTATGGCCCATTAAAATTTTAAGGACATAGTCTGGCATTTAAGGACAATTCCCGTATATTTCATGGCCAGTAAAAAATTAAGTACAATTCCCGGTTTTCCCGGATTTCCCGGTTAGTAGACACCCTGTATTTAACACTAAAATTGAAGAAAAACTGTGAATTTTAGACATTGATGTGCTTACCATAAACTCTTGGAAATTGCGTTTATTTATTTACTAACTGTTACCCACGGGCTTCAACCTATTTGACTTCACAAGTATTAATAAAACGATTGATTGGTTAAGTTGCTGACTTAACCCCCCCCCCTAACTTACTCCCCAGGTACATGATGTTGATACTGTGGTGTCCGTTAAAGTGTCCTCTATCTGTTGACATTATCAGTAATATGTTTCGTGGCCGTATTTTTCCGCAAAACAGCCAGCAATAGATTTTTTGTGGCACATGCACTACTTATCACCGAGTTATTGCCTGGTTCAAACAAGTACGCGTCTGGTAACCAGACGTGGATTAGGCATCCGGCAGTGACGTCACCGGGTTGTGTGGGCCCGGAAAGCTCCATTACCACAACGATACGATTTACAGCCATCGGTGTTCGTGGTGTAGTGGATAGAGTACTAGGCTGGAATAGGCTACTTATGCAAGAGGTGCAAACTTTTTGTCAAAGATTTTGCTTTGAATGCCATTTCTTCTTAACTGTAGATCTTTTGTTAGAATTTTTTGCATTTATAATCTATATATATAATTCTGTAAGACCAAATTTTTACCAGAAAATTGTGGACGTCTGGTAAGTCGCAGAAAAGTGGTAGAGGTCTTAAATTAAAGGTCTTAACCCCAGGGACTCGGGGAAAAATAGCAGAATTCCCATAAAGTTACCAGAAAACGAGATATAACGTAAAATATCCACCATAAGAAATGCATGGGGAATGAAAAACGTCTGCATTCTATCAGCTGTTACTTATTTATTTGCAATGTTTACATTTATTCCGAAAGTCAATGTTGGTAAATAATGTTTTAAAATGAATTGTGTTTAATTTTTTTGTTTTCCGTTTTTATAATGAGTGAAGTAACTAGACAGGGTAGGGGAAGACCTGCAAGCCGTGGAAGAGTGTCCAGGAATTCAACAGACTTAAGAAATGCAAGAGAGAATGTCATGTAGGGCCTAACTGTGAAAGAAATCTAAAAGCGGTTTTACAACCTGTCTTTAGAAGAACGCTGGAAAATGAGTTGAGTGTTGTTTCTCACAATCTAGGTCCGCTTAAAGCACTTGCATGCATTGTGGCGCATTTCACTTTGCAGAGGAGGCCACAGATGGACATTACAACGCATGTTGCCACAATGGACATGCCACAAGCACAAGTAAATGACGAACTAATTGTTTTTACATGATTCGAGCTTCATAAAAAACATAAGTCAGTACAACAGTGCAATGGCTATTGCGTTGCTTTCCGCTACACAAAAAGAGATTCCGGGAAATGGACCTTACTGTCTTAAAATTCAGGGACAAATTCTTAGATTTATTTCTGACTTACCACCGCCAAACGGGGAGTTGCCTTCATAATAATTAATAATAGTTTTAACCTTTACATTTGGTTTTCAAAATGGAAACTATAACAGAATTCGTAAGATTACAAAACAAATCTTCAATTTTAAATTAGAAAAGAAGTGCAATGTTTCGCTGTATGATTTCAGCTCTGATTCGTCGCTCTCCGGGCTCAGGCCAACCGTGTGCACGTTTCCATTTAGTAATATGTTGTGTTATTGATTTAATCATTATTTAACAATTGTAGGCTATTTCATTGACACATTAGAAGCAACTAATATACGACTCCAACGGAAGGAAAACCAAGATATAAAACAAGAAACACTGTTAATTCTAAGTAGGCTAACATAAAATAAAATTGATAATTTTAGAAACATATTTAGGATATTTGTCTTTTTATATATGGTTTTTTATTGTAGTCTAAATTAGGGGCTATGGCCCCTACAGGCCACTAGTTTTATTTTATTAACAGAATTTAAACTTCATTTGATTATTTTCATTTGCCTAACAGCAAGTTTGGTCGGTTAGGTTAGGTTATGACAGTAACTTCCAGACTCCTAATCCACGTGCGTTACCAGACGTGTAGGCCTATCCTCTGCGTAATTTTAAAATGTATTACCTTAATCCTACTTTTAAGCTTTAAAATGGCTTGGCCATTCAAAATGCGCCTTTGAGCATGCACTGGACAAAACTCTCACCATGGTGGTCTCAATAAATCGCTCAGCAAGCGGTCGTGGCGGTCGCTTGCGCACGGCCACGGTATTGCTGTGTAACTTGGACTAGGCTATTTGATAACATGGTGAGCGAATTTTCAAATTTCGTTCCCACCGCAGTAGTGAGTTCAGTGGGGCATGGTTTACAGTAGCCCAAGTTGTGCTCAATTAATGGCATGCCTAAGGAATTATCATTCTCAGGAAGAGATTGAAAGTGTATGTAGCCTCTGAAAAGCTTAGTTGGATGCAAAACCTAATTATTAAACTTATTCTTCGAATTTGAAATTGAGCCTTAAAAGCATTAAGCTATCAAGACAGTTACTCAAAGTTTATTGATGTAGGCCTAGATAGGCCTAACTCAAAAGTTCTGGACTTACGTTATCTGAGGAAATCCATATCAGACATGTATAGGGTGAACTTAGATGAAGGTTAGGAGTATATTCTTGCTTAAAATTTCCAGTTCCAGTATCCCATAATTTTAATTTACCGTCCGTGCCACAATGAGCATAAAGATTTCCACAATTAGAGAATGAAGAGTATTCCAGCACCATAGTGAGCGTAGTCCACGTGCAATAAGTTAATACTTCGAGGAAACCTATTCAATTCCTCCACTAAGGTAAATTACCATCATAAGATTTGAGAAAGTAACAATTAACTTAATTAAAATGTTTTTGAACATAGAGATTAGGGCATAATTGTAGAATAACACAACGCCAGTTAATCTGGAACACCGGGAAAGATTACTCCAACACGGCACTTTATTTGTATTTTAGGTTATGTTTCAATTTCAATGTTGAATGAATGTTTCAATAGTATGGCAATGGTAAGGTAAAAGAACAGAACAACAAATTACAGACAGAAGGCGAGCAACGCGATGGCAGCCGTGGAGTAGAGGCGTGGGCGTGGAGTGGAGTGAACGTCTTACAACCACGGCCGCCTAGGTGGCCGTGCTTACAACTTACAAGTACAAGCTCTATCACGGCCGCCTTTAACTACAGGCCGCGGCCTGGTAGAATTGGCAACATCGCAAGTGGTGTTGTTCAGTGACAGACGTCCCATAAGATAACATGGCAGACAGGTGACATCAGCTCATTAATTCGCACTTTATTGATTTAATTTTTAATTTATGAACATAAATTTATTAAAATATTAAAAATAAAACATACATAATTGAAAATTGAAACAATATGAATTAAAATCTATATATGTACATTTTTAAGCGGAGTCAATATTGTCATAGTCCAGTAATCAATCTTTCGTAAATACACAAATACCATTAGTTGCTTCCAAAAAAATCAGCTGTTACAACACCACTTGGGACGTTGCCAGTTCGAAGGCCGCGGCCTGGAGTTAAAGGCGGCCGTGGCTCTATGCTTACAAAAGCTGTACAACAGCACAGAAGACCAGTTGCAATGCAAAGAGTAATAATAAGATTATACAGTCCACACTCCCATTCCCTTGTGGCATTACTGGATATTTTTAAGGTATTGCCTTCACCCACGGCCGCCTTTAACTCCAGGCCTTCGAAGTGACAACGTACGTTGTAACGGTGTTGTAACGGCCCAGGTCTTCCCCTAATTATTTTTTTATTCATTGAAGATCACTTTACAGCAGATCATTAATTAAAGATTTATTAATATATTTATTACAAATTCTAATTTAAAATATATTAATTCTAGATTCTATGCTAGATAACATTTAAATAGGCGCGTACTACAATTGACTATAAATTAGTCAATTGTAGTACTACATATTCTTTTTTAGTTAATAGAATTCGTCTATACTATACAGTGGGTTGGCCAGGAGGAGACATTCCACGCCCTTTTTGAAATGGTTACTTGGAAGGTTCCGGGCTGTACAATATAACACATTGAATAGTTTAAGGCTTACACCCATGTAGCACAGATGGTTGGGCCAACGTTGGTAAATTGTGGAGCCACACAGTTGGCCAACGGTAGAAATGTCACCTCTTTAAACTGTTTTCCAGCCAACCATTGTCCAACCGTTTTATTTCACACAAAATAATAAAGATTTAGTACAAAAAGCATAATTATTAGTTGAGTAAATTGATTAAATAGTTCATAAAAACAAATTTTGAAAAAAAAACTAGAACAAAATTATTTTGGTTCAGACGGGTCTCGAACCCGGGTCCTTCGACTTATGAGCCTCTTACTTTACCACTGAGCTATCTGTGATTGCTGATATAGAGAGTTTTCAAGTGGTGAAAGAGTAGCCGACAGTTGCAATGGTCGCAATACTCAAACATTTTTGATACTTCACAGTATAATATGATTCTGTTAATCTGTTAAGGCATCATAAGTAGTTTTTTTTTTGGAGTTAGAGAGGATACTGGTATTTGAATAATTAATTAATTACCGTTAGATTGTTAATGCTATTATAATTGCCTGTTATATGATTAATTACTCTTTCCCCTTAAATTGTTGCAAATAAGTTAAAGAATATTAATTTAAATAATATTTGCATTATTAAAATTCATTGTTGTAGCCGGAACTGTAATATATAAAATATCTGGTTTTACAATACCTTTATCAGTTCCAAAAACTTTTGGAAACTTTTGGAACTGATAAAGGTATTGTAAAACCAGATATTTTATTATAATTATGTTGTGAAAGCTAGACCCAGAGAATGAAAGTCGTGTAAACTCAACTATGGACCATTGTTGGTCCAACAAAAGTATCTTTTGTTGGTCCAACGGAGTGAAAAACGGTTGGACAACGGTTGGCTTGATGTATGATACCCAGCAATGCATATTAATGTATTTCATTAACAATGAACCAATGTTGGTCCACAGTTGTAAATATTGGTTGGCCCAACTACGAGATATACAGTTGGACAACGGTTGTGTTGTATCCGCTAGTGGGTGGGGTGTCCAGAATAAATACTCGGGCGTGATGTTAATTGGGTTCATTTATTAAGCGGATAAGCAATAAAATACAAGTTATAATATCTTACTAATACATGACTACGCTAATATCACAGAGAAATCCCCATTATTAAAAAGGTATAATTTAGAGGGAGGGCTACCTACTACTGAACCAAGGGTCGGGCAATGTAAATCTCCTATTAGCCTATCACCACATACCTGCTAATATCAGCGGGAGAATCATGACCAGCTAGTTGTTGGCTGTACCGCGCCTAGGCTGATTCTAACTGAAAGTTGGTGGTTCACAAGGACCGACCATATCTAACCTCAAGGTGGTGGGGCTGGTGACGCAAATGCTGGTTTCCAGAATTACCTCAAACCACATTTGGTACTGGATATAATGTTACAAAATCTCAAAGTTAAAAACTACTTTTGGCTGAGCTCCCTGCTCCAGATATAAACGGAATCAAACTGTAAACTAATAAATTAACCCATGTGGATACACAACAGTTGGTTGGTTGTGGAAGCTCCAACCAACCATCGACCAACTGTCCCACAGTTGGCCAACGTTGGCCCAACCATCTGTGCTACATGGGCAATGTCATAGTTACTTTGTAATTTCTTAAGCCTAACAAAAGGTACATTTACATCCTGCTTACTTCTAGTATTGTACGAGTGGATGTCGCTCCTGAGCTAGAGAGCGCCCAACTCCTCCTTAGTTTTGATGAGGGTCTGGAAGATAAACAGATTATAAACTGTCATGAGGGATTCAGCCTTAAAGATAGGCTCACAGTGATCCAGGCGCTTGGCCCCTACTACTATTCGTATATCCTTTTTTTTGGAGAAGTAGGACTCTCTCGACTCCAAGAGCGGCACCCCAAAGTCTCAGTCCATAAGTGATGATGCTCTGGAAAAAGTCCACATACGCAGTCCTTAACCACTCTTTTGGTACACAGTACCTTAACTTACGAAGCAAGTGCACAACCCTAGCCAGTCGGCTACAAACATAATAAATATGGCTGTTCCAATCCAGCTTACAGTCTAGGTAAATGCCTAAAAGCTTTACGCTTGTTACCTCATGCTCAATGTTTCGGAGACTGAAAACAATAGATTGGGTTTTTTCTTGATTTAAAAAGAAATAGTTTGCCCGGAACCAGGTAGATGCAACATTTAAAGATTGATTTAAAGCCAAGTTCAACTCAACAGCACTATTTCTAGCTTCCACAATTGTAGTGTCGTCTGCATAACAAACAACACCATTACCAAGGCACATGGGAAGGTCATAAATCATTATATTGAAGAGCAGGGGCCCGAGTACGGAGCCCTGCGGAACGCCATATGGATTAGGTTGCTGATACTTGAGGTTTTACCATTTGGGGACACTAGCTGCCCGCGCTCGGCCAGATAGGACCTCAGCAAATCAAGGCTTTTATCATTCAAACCATGGAAATTTACTGAGGGAAATGCTTACCCCTTTACCTTACCCTCCTCCATTGGCCTGATCCTGCTCTCGATCCTGCATCAATCTTTGTATGTTCCTAAACTTTTTATTTACCGCGTTGTTATTTATTCTTGTTAACTACAGTTTATAATGTTGTTATTTTGTTGTTGTTACAGAGTCAATCATATTGTTATTTTACTGCAAGTACTTATCTGTTTTCCAGCTACACATTGGTTATGCCTGTATTTACTCAAGTTGCATGGTTTTTACTGTCTGTTTCATTTTATCACTATTGTTCTATGTTGTTCAACTGGTTTTTTTTTTGAGAATCTATTGTATTGTCAACTTGTTCTAACAGTTTATTTATAGTGAATAATTTTTTTAGGTATCTTGTATGTCTTGTTCTTGAAATCTTGTTGTTTACATTTTTTTCACTACTTATGTATTAACCAGTTATTTGTCACAAAGACACTAGGTATTTTCTTGTAAGACTTGTGTATCCGTTAATAAATAAATCAGACAACGTCAAGTCAACGATTAAGGACCTAAGTATCAAGTAGAGGTCACCTGTGGTCACCAGCCTATTTTGAAAATGTTTTGCCCGAATACATGAAGTAGTACCATAGATAAAACATACTAGTCTATGGTAGTACTCATAATAAATGTCCGTTTCTCCAAGTCTGTTCCATTATTCTGTAAGATAAGTTTTATTGTGGTTGTAGTGGCCACATTGAGCTTTGCTTATGGCGCGACTTTACTGTTTGGTTTGGTTTGGTAGTTAAAAATAAAAAACAAAACAAGTTAAGTTCTGTTCTGTTCCGTTCTGTTTTCTGTGTTCTGTGTTGTGGTTGTGTTGTGTTTCTTTCTTGTGTTCTACTAACTAGGCCTAGTGAAGTGATCTCTTACATTTTTCGTTTGTTTGCTGTTTGTGTGGTGTGGTTTATTGGATAATCAATTTAAATGTGATTTAGGAGTAACTTACTATTGAGGCTATGTGCTTTATGCTTTACATGTTTTATCAGTCTGTAATTTTAATTGTGACAACAATATTTTCTATTCTCTCTGCAAATTGACGAGTTAACATCTTCCCTGAACTTGCTTAGTTCATTTAGTTAATTTTTTTAATTAAAACTGTCATAACTTAGGCCTGAGTTATTAAGTCGGTAGGTGTTTCAATTTTTAAATTGAGTACGGTAACTTATATTTTTTTGAATAATCTTACCTTATTTACCTATTATCGCACCCTAGCAGCTAAAGTAGGCTAGCAACAAAAAAATACAAGCATTATTAAACAACAGGACAACAAGCACAGCAAGTTATAGCCTATAGCAATGTTAATGGACTAGCTAGGCCTAGTCTATGTCCAATTATTATTTAATCAATTGTAACCAATAGGAAATTACATGGGAGAGGAAACAAGACAAATAGTCCTAGCTAGCATTCTAAAAGGACGCCTCTTCTATAGGCTACTGATTTGGCGCAATAGCTAAGTTTATCCGGCTCCTTCAGATTGTCTAACAAGAAAAGTGAGTAACCACCACTATCAAATTTGGTAATTATTTATTGGGTAATTATTTGGACGTAGTGACTACTCTCAAAAGTGAAATTTTTGTTTTTCATAATGACTTAAATTTCACGCTGAATCCGAAAATGACGTTTTTATTTTTCGGAAAATACCGGAAATTCCCGAAAAAAGGGAAAAACGGGAAAAATGTTTTTTTACTCAAAATACGTCATGTGGGTACTCAAAATACGCGGAATATTGATCCGATGAAAAACACCGGAGATAGGGCGAAAAAACGGTGAATAATCGGTTAGGTTAGGTTAGGTTAGGTTCGGTTAGGTTTGGTTCGGTTAGGTTAGGTTTGGTTAGATTAGGTTAGGTTCGGTTAGGTTAGGTTAGTTTAGGTTAGGTTAGTTTATCAATAACATGAGTATATTGTAAGTAAACTAACCTAACCTAACCTTACCTAACCTAACCTAACCCAAAAATGTGCGATGTTATTTTGGATTTTTTGTCCAACTTTTGTCCGTGAAAATACCAGCTGATCAGCTGGTCATTATTTTATTATTATTGTTTACGTTAGGTTGAGTTAGGTTAGGTTAGGTTGAGTTAGGTTAGGTTAGGTTTGGTTAGGTTAGGTTAGGTTAGGTTAGGTTAGTTTACTTACAATACTCAAGTTATTGATAAACTAACCTAAACTAACCTAAACTAACCTAACCTAACCTAACCTAACCTAACCGATTCGAACCTAACCAAACCTAACCTAACCGAACCTAACCTAACCAAGCCTAACCTAACCGATTATTCACCGTTTTTTCGCCCTATCTCCGGTGTTTTTCATCGGATCAAAAAAATTCTTGCATATTCTTAATCTCACAATATTCTGCGTATTTTGAGTACCCACATGACGTATTTTGAGTAAAAAAAAATTTTCCCGTTTTTCCCTTTTTTCGGGAATTTCCGGTATTTTCCAAAAAATAAAAACGTCATTTTCGGATTCAGCGTGAAATTTAGGTCATTATGAAAAAAAAATTTCACTTTTGCGAGTAGTCACTACGTCCAAATAATTACCTCAGTTTTTGTCGGAGAGATTCCTAAGTGGCTGTACAGTTTTACTAAATAATTAATATCAAGCTTAAATTACTGTAAGTTTTTTTTTTTTATTTGTGGTTTGGACGAGTCCAAGTTCTAGTAGCGACTAACACTAAAAGGGGAGGAAGGTTTGTGTAGTGGAAATAGCTGTCAGTTGTTTTTGCATTCGATAAAAGCAAATGGACTTTGGTGCCGTTTAGAAAATACAATAAATCAACTACGATACATTTTAGTAAAATACCAGTAATAGAACGTAAAATACCAGTAATAGAAGCTAGGCCACTACCGACATGATCATCCTCATTCCAACCCTCACTCAAAGTATGTTAATGAACGTGCCACAGTGCATAATTCCATACTTAGTACATAATCCCATTGTGCCTAAAAGGGAAAACGTGCCACAGTGCATAATTCATGTATCAGCAACTAATTAATGATATTACATGTGTTTTAGCGAATTTCCCATAGCTTATAGGGAATAAGCTATTACCGTAGGTCTCATGGTAAGACCTGGACCCGGGACCTTTACTTTTTTGTTTTGAGGTCCCCAGAGGCCATATATATATGTATAGGCCTATATATATATATTTATTTATATAGGTAGGTATTTATTTAGGCTATACATATAAGATACAGTGTCCATTAGCACGATAACTCTATAACAACAAATATCCGATTTTGATGAAATTTGGTAGGTATAAACATGTAAACCTACATTTATTCAAACGAGTTTGCGAACCAGCATACTCGGACTATGGGAACGGGGTTTATGGGGGGTTTTATGGGATAAAAATGGGCTTTTCTCATTTTTGACCCTAAAAACATAAAAGTTTGAAATTTCTTACATTACCCAACCATTTTGTTGAGCTTAAAAAAAGAAATAATTTAATATATATTGAAGCATTGTAGTATGCCTAACGGTTACGGAGAAAATGTAAAATACCCCCGCCGCAGCAAACCTGCTGACTAAGTGAATTTAACTTGTCTGATTACATTTTTACTAAAATATTTCAATAAATAAGACTTATTTATTCCCTATTTAAATAGCATTAGATTTAATGAGTGCTTAGGTTTGCCGCTACGGGGAAGGTAAAAAGTGTTTTTTTGACCATAGGATGAAAGAAAGAAATTTGCCCAATTTTATCAATATATTTCCATAAATAAGTAAACTACAACAATTTTCATTTTCTCCATAAGAATAACATGGAAATTTTAAATTAGGCCCTACTCTATTTTTGAATTTTCTCTGTGACCGTTAGGCATACAGCAGCGCTTCAATATACTAAATGATTTATTTTTTTTAAATTCTACAAATTGGTTTAGAAAGAAAATGCAAAATTTTTGTTGACAGGGTCAAAAATGGGAAAACCCCATTTTTACCCCATAAAACCCCGTTCCCATGATCCGATTATGCTGGATCGCGAACTCGTTTGAATAAACGTAGGTTTACACGTTTGTAACAAATTTCATCAAAATCTGATAATTTTTGCTCGAGTTATCGCGCTAACGGACACATATATATATGAATTTGAACGGATGGTGTTGGGTCCAGGGCCCTGTTTCATAAAACTACTAGTCAAGTAATTACTAGTCTAGTAAATACTAGTCCCGTATTTACCTGCCCTACTAATTTGTGTTTCATAAACGTTTTCATACCACTAGTAGATACTAGTGAATTTTACTAGTCACGTGACCAAAACTACTAGTCACGTGACCAACTTTACAAGGTAAACTTTCAAAACAAATTTCTAACCTCAATCACGGGTTTTCAAACCCTTTATAAAGGGGTTTAATTTTGTTTTCATTTGATACAAAAAGTAAATAGTTGTAGAAACGCAGTGTTTTCTTTTAATTAATAACTATATAAACACATAAGCAAAACAATCACACATTATTTATCAAACCGCTATTATTTATGTTCGCGGCGCGGCGTCGCGTCGCTGCAATCAACATGGCGATTGTGGTAGCCGGGTAGGCCTAGTTGCGGCGCTCAACAGAGTTGGGTAAAAAAGTTGATCTGTTGCTGCCGCATTCGCTGTGATTTGTATAGTTTTTGTTTTATTCTGACATATAAGATTATGCTAACTATGAGTAAAGAAAAGAATGCTCGGATTTTGAATGTAATTAAATCGTGTAAGGACATTTTGTTTGGAACGTTTTCAAGTACCCTAACCTATGTTTTCAAATATTCGAATGCATAAGAATATTTGGGTTAAAAACCATTTGGTGATATTCTAATTTTGAGTCTACAAACCATGCCTAAACGTTTATTGATGTAACAAATAATTGCAACGCCGTTACAAGCAATGGAGAAGTAGGTTTTCAAGTATAGTAAAACATGGCATATGCGCTGTTGCAGGGCGTAGCTCAGAGGTAAAGTTTTCGCTTCTCATGTGGTAGGGTCCCTGGTTCAAATCCGCACCACTCACTATACTTTTTGTTCCATTAATTAAACTTTTACGTGTTTTTACATTTAAATAACAGCTCTAATCAACATCTAATTTTTTTATTACTTTGAATAACAAATTCAGAATACCAAAATGGATTAAAAGTAATGTTTTTATGATAAGCAGTTCAGTTCAACGCCCAAAAATCAAATATAGGCCTACACAATTGTTCGTACATCACAGGGTTTTAGCTATTTAGGGAAGCAAATAATAAGCACCTCAAAAAATACAATAAAACTCCTCTTTAAAATTGTTTTACTATTATTTCATATTACAATGTCTTTAAATAAAACCGAGGGCCTTGGGTGTAAAATAATCTGATTAATGTTGCAATGTTGGATACATTTTTGTACATCTTTGTACGCAATACGGTATGCGGTTTTAATTTGGTTTCTCTCAAAGATTAAAAATCTTTTATCTGTGATAACTAAATAGTTGATATAACCATGAAATTTAACTCAAGTAAATTTAGACTAAAATTTCACAGAAATTGATAACTTATAATTATAATTATTATAATAGGGCGATTGTACATACATTATAAAATTCAATTTCACTCATTTTGTACTACGCCACATTTATTGATTGTAATTTACATTTAATAATTGTCATTTTAACACTCACAGATCTATTTTTATCTTAAATTGCAAACTTGAGCCAATTCGCACTTGAAAAAAGAATTCACTAATTCATTTTTTTAAAGGATGTGAGTAATGAAATAACTCTCTTCCCGAAAATACTAGTCTACTTCAAATAATACGGGTGTAGAGAGGTTGTTAGAAAATGGCAAGTATTTACCAGTGTAATTTACAAGAGTAAAACTTTATGAAACACATTGCTGTCTACACTAGTAAAAACCACTAGTAATACTAGTCCCTACACTAGTAACTAGTATTTTACACTAGTAGGTTTTTGAAACGTAGACTTGTAAAATACACTAGTATTACTAGTCCGTGGACTCGTAAATACTAGACTAGTATTTTTATGAAACAGGGCCCAGGTCTTACCATGAAAACCTTAAGTACCTACTTAAGTATATGTATTTGTTTTGATTTGGTTGTTATTGTTTTTATTATAAAAACAATAACAATCAAATCAAAACAAACACATACTAATTTGACAGTTACAATCAGGTGATCTTTTGTTTGCAATCCGAGTGACGTCAGAATATGTGGGAATAGCACACCTATGTTTTTTCCTTCCACCATGGTCTTAGGAAGTGAAAAGTGTAACTTAATCAGGTGATTTTCATATTGCATAATCAGAGTTAGCTAATAAAGTTGTCACTTCCATTTGCTTGACTATAATTGAAAACAATCAGCTGTTGGCGTACTCAACCCATAGTCCATTCCACTTGTATTTGTCATCCATCCTACCTTGTTTATAGTAATGTTGTATGATATCTTGAGAAATATTCATCAGCGGTGAAAAATAATGGTAGGCCTATATTTGGATTCAATTCAGGAGGTAAAAAACTATAGGCCCAAAGTAAGATATCTATATAAATAAAATTAGAGTTTTGTCTGTACATTGCTTAGAATAATGAACTTTTTGGTTATTTTTACATTTCATAGGTCAGAGAAACCGAATCAAACCTTATCTCAATTTCTGTCTGTCTGTCTGTCTGTCTGTCTGTCTGTCTATCTGTCATTCTCTTGGTAACGCTAAAATACGCACTTTATTACAACTACTCCTCAATAACTATAGCACTGTCCCGCCTGAAACTTATTTTCCAAATACTATACATATATGAGATGGTTTTAGACGTATTTCATCGAATATGAGACAGTTAGATATTTAACAGTAAACCCTTGAAAATCAAGTTTTTGTCGATTTTTGACGTGGAATTTCTGGAAGCCCATGTTAACCTTATGAGAAATGAAATTATTGAATCTTAACAGCTGTTTCAATTAAACAAGTTGGTTCTGTTCTGTGATGTTCAATAGCATTAAAGTTACAAGGATTACCAACAGGGTGCAGCACTAGCACTATTATTTCTTTTACATTTATGACAACAGCTAATTTGCAACCTGGAGGCGAGTGAGCGTAGCGAACGAGCTAACCTGAAGGCAAGTGAGCGTAGCGAACGAGCTAACCTGAAGGAAAGTGAGCGCAGCGAACGAGCTCCAACATACAGGTGAGTGAGCGTAGCGAACGAACTTCAACCAGGACGTGATTGAGCCATGCAAACGAGATCAGATAGTAAAAATAAAAGTAAGCCTACCGTTATAGGATCGACCGGCAGACACAGAGGTAATTTAACCTTTTATTGATTGTCATACCGATCCGGAACAACAAAAAACAACATAAAATGAAGCTATGTATAATAGTTTGGCCAGCATATCTTAAAATATGCAAACCAACTGCTGTTCTTTATATAAGAAGGTTTCAACTGAATATTATAAGATCCCCGTGCGTAGAACGGGTACACAGCTAGTCAAAATTAAAAATTCTTTTGGAGGCACCCTTAAGGAATAATTACCTCTTAACCAATCAAAACTCAACTTCCTATAACTATAAGTTATTTATCCTTACAATCCATAAGTTTTTAATGTTGCCTAAATTAAGTTAGTCAAGTTATAGTCCTAGGACACTTTTAACAGCTGCTCACTTTCCACATACTTTCCTCGCCACTAGAACTTGGACTTATCCAAACAACCATTTGAACCACTCTATTCGATTCAATGAATATCAAATTGATTTAATTTTATTTTGTTTCTTCGACACTTTTTATAAAAAACTAAACACAATTTCGAATTTAACTTGAAAATATTGCAATAGACAAGTAAAAATAAAATTTTTAATAGACCTAGTGAAATTATATTGGCTATTCAACTTTTGTTAGTTCATAGAATAACTTACAACTAAGTTTACTATTAAATCTTTGTTGCACTAGGCCTACAGGCTCTGTTTTATTTAATGGGTTTTTTTCTGGTTAATCAGCCCTAGCCTAGTATTTTACTGTTTTTCTATTGCTTGGATTCTCAAATAGCTACCCGGTACACATTTAGTGGGGGGGGGGGGGGGGGGGGGGGTAAAATAAAAATAAAATAAAAAAGAGACTAATTATACTTGCCTATTTTTAAGCATTAATGTACAGTAGAAAGAAATTTATGTAAGTTGACCTCAACAATATAACCTTTCAGGTTGCTGTGTTGATGTAACAGACAAAAGTACACCATGAATCAAGGAAATTCTTTGAAAAGAAAATCAATCACAAATAACAGCAAAATGGTGTCTGCCCGCAAACGGAAATCTTTACTACTGCAGCATTCACTTTCACTTCACATCCCAATGGAAGACATCAGCCAATGTAGTGAAATAAACTGTTTTGTAAACCTCCCAGATCAAGTGTTTAGTCTGACCTACTTAACGGAAAATGACACACTTAATCCAGAATCACTTAATATGTTAGAAGGTAAGTTTTAACCAAGATACATTTAATAAAAAAAACTACAGTAATAATAAACACAAACCTAATAGGCCTAACTTCAATTGTGCTGCTTGCATAAATAGCTTTAAAATGAGGGGATGTAAGGAGGATTTATTTGAACTATACAGTAGACTCCCTTTTATCCGGACTCCTCGGGACCGAGGCCAGCTCAGATAACAGTTTTTCTGGTTAAACGTCCCCAAAAACTTGTTAAAACGGACCATTTAATACAACCTGTATAAGCCAATAATGATTATTACGTATTTAGACACGTTATCACTGGTCTCAAATCTTTCCCACGAGAACAGTCGTCTCAGTACCTCCCACTTCCTGCCGATCTAGTCCGGTTAAACCAATGTGCTGATAAAAATTGTCTGGTTAAAGAGATGTCATTTGCGCCAAGTGTAGTCCGGTTAAACCGATGTCCGGTTAAAGGGTGTCCGTATAAGAGGGAGTCTTACTGTAGCTAATTATTTTTGCAAAGAAAGCTAAATTGGGCGCTCATAGGCCTAATCTAAAATTTCATCCATCCATCATTCTGAAAAAGATAAAATATCATTTCGCCTTACACCTAACTGAATCTGTTTCAAGGTATAGTGATAGTCCATTTGTTTAGAAAGAAATACTGTTTTTTTTTTTTATTTTTAAACTTGCTTAATGTCAGTTGTTAGTTAACTCTAGTGTAGTAATGAAGGAACTGGGTTTTGTTAGTTATTACATTGTGTTAAAAGTGTTCATAAAAATATAACATTTACAATTTAACTTTCTCTGAAAAATCTACTTCCAAACTGCAATGAAATTCGTGTGATGTCCAGTTGATTTGTTTGATTGAATTAAGGCAAAACATTAGCTAAATCTATCACCAAAACTGTGGTTTCTCTACTTTCCATTCTGAATGTAACTTGCATTTAAAACATGTAGGTTTTTTTGTTTAATCCTGAAAGACTTTGGATTAGCAAGATTACACAATCCCTGAAGCGTTTACACCAAAGTTTTGAACTTTTTGTTTCACTAACACTTGCTTCTTAATTAGTTTGTAACAAAAGTTCATAAGAGATAATGCTTTTTTTTTAAATTCTGTTCAAAACGGAAAATGCCATGTACTTTTTTGGGAGTAGAAGGACTGACGCTGAGGGCACGGCATGTGATCACATGGTGGTGGGTAAGCACGGGGTCTAGCGGGGAAGTGTTGTAAGTAACATCGTAGAAGTACTGAAACGGGTTCCAAACAAATGTTTGAAACACTCTTTGATCTTTACCGACTTCTGGTGGGAGTTAAAATTTCTCTGTTCTAAATACTAAAAAACTGTTCTAAACATCAAAATTTGTCCTTTCAAAAAGTTGTGTTTCCTGATTTGTTAGGAACATGTTTGTTGTTAACACATGTTCCAAACTCCGGTGTAAACACGGCTTAAAGCTTGTTTAAAAAAAATTCTAAAACCACCTAAAATTCCTGACATATTTCGTTTTCAGATTTCAGGTATGGGACCTGGCATGTGTACTTAGTTGGTTTGCTGTATAACTTCAGCTATCAGCCTGCTCAAAGAACGGCTATAGAGAAAGCTATAAACAGTGGATTGAGGAAAAATTCACAAAACTCCAAAGTTCAGATGACTTATCACACCCAGGTCTCGCAATGCCAAGGTTTGAGTCCGACAGATAATGACAGCGAAGCTTTGAAAGTAGGTAGCCTACACCATCATTTCAGACATTACATTGTTAGTTTACTTAATAGAGAATATAACCTCTGGAAGTTTCTTACATTTAATTGGCCAGTTTATTTAAATAGATTTAAATAAGCCTACACACGAAAATTGCTTACATCTTCTGGGGCACCACCTTGTCTCCTGCGCAGGTATGTGGTGATAGTTACAACTCGCATGAGTCTGATCCTTCGGACCCAAACATTTCCAATCAGAAAGCAGCTTGTTTTTTTTTCTTAACATGTGTTTGTGAACATTCTCAACGATCATTTTCTGATGTAAACTATGATGTTCTCTAGAAACTCATGTGAAAGTACTCCCTGCTACATTAATGATCTAGCTCTAATGAATTTGAAAAAAAAATGAACCGTTAGAAAATTTCCTGAGTACAGTTACACCCACTCTTAGCCAACTCAACTTTAGCTTTATCCTAAAATTAACCAATTCATTATATTTGAAATGGACAACAGGAACAAGACTAAATTCCATCTCTAACCTCATTTGCATCTGTAACTGATGTTTATGCTTTACTGTCTATAATGAATAAAGAATTAGTGCCTAGGGACCAAATAATTACTCTACTCTGAAAGCAGTTTAGTATTGCAGATAGATTAATCCATTCCCAAACTCCACACTGCTCGCCTTTACTACTTCCTTCACCACTCCCTACATTGTGGATCTGTTTGCCCTCCTTCCCTATACCATTTTAGAATTGCAGATACATAATTGCCACAGACAGTTCCCACACTCTGCACTGCTGGCCTTACTAATTCTTTCACCATTTCCTACGTCATGGACCTGTTTCCTTCCCTTCCCCTAGCATTTTAGGATGGAAGATACATTAATCTAACTGCCACAAACGGTTCCCTCACTCTGCGATGCTAAAACTTTACTACATCCTACGCCACTTCCTACGTCGTGGACATGTTTTCATCTCTTTCCATAGCATTTTAGTATTTTAGATAGATGAATATAATTGCCACAAACATTCCCCAGACTCCGCACTGCTAGCCTTTACTACTTCTTTCACCATTTCTTATGTCGTGGACACGTTTCCTTCCCTTCTAATAGCATTTCAGTACTGCAGATACATTAATCTAACTGCTACAAACGGTTTCCAGTTCCAACTCTCCACACTGCTTTCCTTTACTACTTCCTTCACCACTTCCTACATCGCGGACCTGTTTTCCTCCCTTCCCTTTAAAGCATTTTAGGATTGCAGATACCTTAATCTAATCATCATAAACAGTTCCCACACTCCAGACTGCTCGCCTTGACTACTTACTTCACCACTTCCTACATCGCGGACCTGTTTTCCTCCCTTCCCATAGCATTTTAGGATTGCAGATACCTTAATCTAATCGTCATAAACAGTTCCCACACTCCGGACAGCTCGCCTTGACTACTTCCTTCATCACTTCCTACGTCGCGGACCTGTTTCCTTTCCTTCCCATAACATTTAAGGATTGCAGATACCGTAATCTAATCGTCATAAACAGATCACACACTTCACACTGCTACCCTTGACTACAATGTATCGAGTAATCCTCAATATAATATTGGCTCAACTGATGTTTTTACTTTTTTACTGTATTTTGTAATTTGCTAGTATACTGTGGATAGACAACTTACAAGTCTTATGTTTACATTTTCCTTATTATTTAATTTATCCAAGATGGTTACTTAGCAACCCATAAGACTAATGTTAAAAAAAAATGTGACTTTCAGTTTCATTTTTCTACGTAATTAGATTTTTGTTGGCAGTTCTAACTGCAGTAAACTCGTTTTTAGGCCAGGAATAAACTATTTACAACATTTGAAGAAAATCGTCGCCGTTTTCGAGATCTTGGTGCAGCAATACATACATACAAGCAAACATTGTTCATATTAGAGTATATGATTCTATTTGAAGAAGCTATATGCACAAACAGCCCTTGTACTCAACACCCTGTACACATGGGAGCGTTGGAATGTGCGTTTTGGAGTAGGTTTTAAGTATTACCAGTACTGTGTATTTACTTCCATAGTCCACTCTTGGTAATTGAAACACTTGATAATTCAAAACTTTCGATAATTCAAAATGAAGGCTCAGTCCCTAGAGAATCTCTCAATATTTCAAATTTTTACCATGCATTTTGATACACTCGGTATTTCAAAGTCCAAATAGAGAGCAGGTCAATTTGTAACACGCAGTAATTCGAAGTTTCGTCGGAAAAACACTCTATAATTCGAAGTAACTCAGTAATTCGAAGTTTCGTCGGTTAACACTATAATTCGAAGTCATGCTGGAATTCAAAGTTTCGTCGAAAAAACACTATAAATCAAAGTCACGCAGTAATTTGAAGTTAAGTCGGCAAAACACTATAATTCGAAGTGATCTCTTCCTGTTATAACAGGAAACTATGCAGTACAGTACATCCTGTTCCCATGGTAGGCTAGTGTTGGACGTTTTGATGTTTGTTTAGTTAGAGCAGTAGTCTTTCACTGACTTGTTTTTCTAAGGCCCCGTTTATGCACCAAGAGCGGGAGCAGGGCGATAGCATAGCATAGCATCCATGCAATAGCATAGCAACGCTGGTGGCGCTGCCTACGGATTGACAGGCAAAGCTCTCTCAAACCGCTTAATGCTTTTTACCATGCGGTTGGCATTCTGGGTTATAGTAGTACGTTTTCTGTGGCGTGGGTCAGGTTGGCAACCCTGGCTGCAACCGCTCCCGCTCCCGCCGTGCATAAACAGTCCCATTTGACTCAATGTAGTTGAAAACCGCTCTATTCCAAGCAACCGCTGCGATTTCTAACTACACAGCGGGCGAATTAGAAACCGCAGCGGGAGGTCAACCGCTACCGCTATCGCTCTTCGTGCATAAACAGCCCCATTTAACTCAATGGTGTTAGAAATCGCTCCCGCTGTCGCTACCGCTCCCGCTTTTGTTGCATAAACGGGGCCTAAGTTGGCAATCCCATCTCTAGATTGCGCGACATCTCCCTGAGCACAAACGTAGTTGTCGACAGCTGATAGATAGTTCAGCTATTGGCGAAATATATAGCGCTAAATAACAGATTTCTTTGCAACTACAGTAACTGAAAAATAAGCCGTTGATTGTTTAAAAGTGTACTACAATACGGTATGATGTCCTATTGTAATGTGCTGTACCTTTGTATGTATTAAACAAATGAACTCTCTTGGTTTATTTTTCTCCCGATAAATCGAACTCTTGATAATTCAAAACTCTTGATAATTCAAATTTATATGCTTGGCCCACCAATTTCGAATTATCAAAGAGTCTACTGTACAATAAACTTGCCTCATGGTAATTACGAGATTTTCTTCTGTAGAAATCCAATCCCAAACAATGTTCTCACAAGGTACTTGTGACGCAAAATTCTAGGGGGGGGGGATAAACCAGTATTCACCAAAGTCAGGCTAGGCCTACCCCTAGAACCGGCCACACTCGAATTTCTTCCCGGGAGTGCTTAGAAGGAGCCGAGAAAAATCCAGGGGCCGATACGAAGTTGTCACGGCTTTGACTGATCAATTTATTTAAATTTAATCGAAGGCTCAGAGCTCTAGAAGCGCTCAGGAAATCCTGCAGACGCTCAGAGGGAGCTATGTCATCCTCACCTTCGTTAACCTGTTGTGAAGAATTTTGCCTAACTTTTAGAATGACTCTGTAGGGCCGACGAGTATCCAATCTTAAGCCAATGTGATATAAATACCTGTATTGAACTTAATTAGCTAAAGGCTCAGGTAAATAATATAGAACAGACTACAACGTAAAAACAATTCCTACAGAGTCGTCAGAGCCTAATTAATCTAATTGAACAGATAATTTAACGAGAGATGATTTAAGATAAATTTTACACTAATATTCGTAGCTGATTGTTCAAATCAGCCTATTCCCTAGACTAGGTTCTCTCGCCCGCCAAAGACGGGGTTTAGAACTCGGGCGACAAGTCTCGGGGTGTTAAAACGGTGAATTAATTAGAATAAACGTATGTAAGAATCATTCGTAGAAATCGTAATTTTGAAACTAATTGATTTAAATCAAACCAAACGATAATCACCACTAGTCACTGGCAGGCAGGAACTGGCGGGTCTAGAATCAAGTCGGCGAAATTTAAGCTATTAAATTTAGTTATTGAAAATAAAATTTGGATACAAGAATGCGAATGTTACACGAAAATTTAAACGTAAATCGTAGCAATGTGATTAACTAATATAGCTAACCTTTGGTAAACGAATTATCGATGATCGTCAGATTGTGCAAGCGTTGATAACGGGTGAATGTAACGACAAAGTTACTTCGAAGACGGCATATGAACGAATAATCCTGTATTTGAGTCAAATCCTTTGTTCCTGCCCCCTCGAGGCTCACGCGCTCAAGCGGCGAACTCAAGTACTACTAGACAACAGCTGATCGCAAATTCACTTGTTGAGCTGGTCTAGTTTCCGTCTGTCGTCTGTCAACAAACAAACACTAGTTTGGGGTTAAGCGTCGTCGGCATTAAAAATATCTGTAAAATCGTCCGGTTTAACTTTATTTGGTGAAACGGAGTGCTATTATGAATAAATATGTATTGTGTGAGTGTGTGTATGTACTTCACTGTGATTAAAAAAAGGCCTACGCTCTTTGGCTCATAGCCGAAGCTAGGGCTAACACATAGGCCTAGGAGTAGGCTACTATGGATTAAAACTGGTAAGTTATGGCGTTTGCTGACTAGCAGTACGTTTTTACCCCCCTTAAAATTTGGTACCTTACATACTAGACAGACTTTAACATTCATTAGACGAAGCAATTAGCATGCTTTAGTAATTAAAAAAGCTTACGTTCATATTTCCTAAATAAGGTTATAAAGTAAAAAAATACAAGCTAAACTTTCTTGTAAAATTAGATGTACCAAGTGTTCTTAGGCCAAAATAGTATTAAATTAATATTTTATATGTGTGGTGAGTCCGAGAACATGACAGACTCGAACAAGAGCAAGAAACAAAAACATTCCTGGGATGCCCATCTGGGAAAAGTTAGGGTTTTCAGAGCTAATTAAAATATATAGCTACTAGCAGAGTACCCGTCCTTCGTACGGGGTTGGCATATAAGTATCAAATGCTTATAGCAGTTATGAGTGAGGACATGGTTTAAGAAATTTCGGTTCTTTTTGAAGTTCGTTCGCTACGCTCACTCACCTTTAGGTTGGAGCTCGTTCGCTGCGCTCACTTTCCTTCAGGTTAGCTCGTTCGCTACGCTCACTTGCCTTCATGTTAGCTCGTTCGCTACGCTCACTCGCCTCCAGGTTGAAGTTCGTTCGCTACGCTCACTCACCTTTTGCTGTTGTCATAAATGTAAAAGAAATAATAGTGCTAGTGCTGAACCCTGTTGGTAATCCTTGTAACTTTTAATGCTATTGAACATCATAGAACAGAACCAACTTGTTTAATTGAAACAGCTGTTAAGATTCATTAATTCCATTTCTCATAAGGTTAAAATGGAAAACTCCAGAGCCACTGGGGCGGAGCCCCGAAGGATTTTTTGGGATAAAAATATGCCTATATGTTAATCGGGAATGTGAGCTATCATCATGCCAAATTTCAGCCCGATCCGACCAGTAGTTTTTGAGATTAGCTCATACAAACACACACACAGACACCACCTCTTCTTTATAATAGTATAGATAACAATTATTGGATTTGATTTTCCTTTTTCAGATTACTATCATCGGTGTAACTAGTAACAAGCAACGTCTGTTGTACGAGGGTTACTTGGTATCATGGTGTAGTACTATCAAGGAGAGCCGTCCGTTTCTACCTGTTTTGCTTTGTAAAGGCAACGTTGCCTTTAGACAACAAGTGAATAGTATTCTCTCTCAGAAGTTTGATGTTATCATCAGTAGACTGTCACTTACAGAGGAGGAGCTAAAGCATCTATCAACATACTGCCTTATAATGCTGGATCGGAATGAGGACGCTGTAGTGACTTACAGCTATAAACTACAAACTGGGGATAACATCAAACTGTCAATGCCTGTTGAAGCCTTGTTCAGGTTGTGGAAAAAGTAAGTCTTCATTCACAATTAAAAGTGTACAAATTAAGCAATGTCTGTTAAGCCTTGTTCAGGTTGTGGAAAAAGTAATTCTTCATTCATAATTAAAAGTGTACAAATTAAGCAATGTCTGTTGAAGCCTTGCTCAGGTTGTGGAAAAAGTAAGTCTTCATTCACAATTAAAAGTGTACAAATTAAGCAATGTCTGTTGAAGCCTTGTTCAGGTTGTGGAAAAAGTAATTCTTCATTCACAATTAAAAGTGTACAAATTAAGCAATGTCTGTTGAAGCCTTGTTCAGGTTGTGGAAAAAGTAATTCTTCATTCATAATTAAAAGTGTACAAATTAAGCAATGTCTGTTGAAGCCTTGCTCAGGTTGTGGAAAAAGTAAGTCTTCATTCACAATTAAAAGTGTACAAATTAAGCAATGTCTGTTGAAGCCTTGTTCAGGTTGTGGAAAAAGTAATTCTTCATTCACAATTAAAAGTGTACAAATTAAGCAATGTCTGTTGAAGCCTTGTTCAGGTTGTGGAAAAAGTAATTCTTCATTCACAATTAAAAGTGTACAAATTAAGCAATGTCTGTTGAAGCCTTGTTCAGGTTGTGGAAAAAGTAATTCTTCATTCACAATTAATTAAAAGTGTACAAATTAAGCAATGTCTGTTAAGCCTTGTTCAGGTTGTGGAAAAAGTAAGTCTTCATTCACAATTAAAAGTGTACAAATTAAGCAATGTCTGTTAAGCCTTGTTCAGGTTGTGGAAAAAGTAATTCTTCATTCATAATTAAAAGTGTACAAATTAAGCAATGTCTGTTGAAGCCTTGCTCAGGTTGTGGAAAAAGTAAGTCTTCATTCACAATTAAAAGTGTACAAATTAAGCAATGTCTGTTGAAGCCTTGTTCAGGTTGTGGAAAAAGTAATTCTTCATTCACAATTAAAAGTGTACAAATTAAGCAATGTCTGTTGAAGCCTTGTTCAGGTTGTGGAAAAAGTAATTCTTCATTCATAATTAAAAGTGTACAAATTAAGCAATGTCTGTTGAAGCCTTGCTCAGGTTGTGGAAAAAGTAAGTCTTCATTCACAATTAAAAGTGTACAAATTAAGCAATGTCTGTTGAAGCCTTGTTCAGGTTGTGGAAAAAGTAATTCTTCATTCACAATTAAAAGTGTACAAATTAAGCAATGTCTGTTGAAGCCTTGTTCAGGTTGTGGAAAAAGTAATTCTTCATTCACAATTAAAAGTGTACAAATTAAGCAATGTCTGTTGAAGCCTTGTTCAGGTTGTGGAAAAAGTAATTCTTCATTCACAATTAATTAAAAGTGTACAAATTTAGCAATGCCTCTTGAAGCCTTGTTCAGGTTTTGGAAAAAGTAAGTCTTCATACACAATTAAAAGTATACAAATTAAGTCATACACTCTCTAGAGTGTCTTATTTTTTAACAAAAAACCATTGGAAACATATTTCACAAATATCCATTCTTACTTTGCAAAGTTGTCTCATGGTATGTGCCTTTACGGTTCAACTACAATGGAGCATTTAACTTCAATAAATAGCCATCAGAATAGTTATAAAATTAGGATACAATGAAGAACCAATTTCAAAAAAGCGTTTCATGCCGATTTATTTTAACAAATGAATTTTAATATTGGATGAGCAGTAGTATACTTGTGATGAAATTATTCTTAAAAAACATTTGTAAAAAGCTCTGGCACTAACTGTTACCCACACAACGCCATGCTTAAAATATTCTTTATTTCAACTCTCAAAATAGAAAATATTGTGTACTTAATGTAGCCTATTACTGATGTGCAAATACTTTGGAGTATGTATTATTTTCAAGTAGGTATTTATTTACTTAAACTTTTTCAGGATTCATCCGGATGACAGTGTCGAAATCATGTTTGATGAAGTGGATCTCTTTCACGAAGCATTAGACAAATTCTATGAGTCTACTTTTGGCATAAAAATTGGCATGGCCAGTTTTCAAACGATCTCAGTCCAAAAGTATTTTTCTCTCTATAGAAACTCTAAGGTACAGTATAACATTATTCCATTATTGTGTTGGTTAGCCTACCTAATAATTCTTTCTAACTTAAAATTGTAGTCAAGACTTTTTGCTGAATACTTTTAAGGATTGTGTAATAAATCACAGCAAGCTATCTATCTATTACTGAACGAAATAGATGCACAATTAATTACATAAAAACAGAGTTTTTGAAGCTACTTACCAGCTCCTTTTTCAGTAGTACAGTCTCTCTTCTTGTAGACTGTTCTGGTTGTGGAAGGAGGAAGAAAGATGTCCTGTCTATGGCTATAGTCTATAACTTTTGTTTACTATCACTAATCTGCAACTGAATTATACTATAAACATTATTCTATGCATTACAAAAGCCTGCCGTGTTGGGGTAGGATTGCTCTGAGCTTTAGGTTGGAGAGCTCTCTGGATTTAGTTATCCTGTGGTGAAAAAGATCTTCTCAATTATGAGGAGTTGCAAGATAGGGAAAGGGCTTTAATGACTTTGGTAGTGAAACATTTTTGTTGTGGATAGCAGTACAGCTATGGCTAACTATTATAGGTTTGTCTTTAAATTGATATTTCGCAATGTTATCTGTGTCCATTTAAACATCGTAGTACCTAGGTTGTTGGTAGTTAGGTCTACATATTGAGTGGGCACATTTTGCATTGTAATTGGTAGGCTAAATCACATTATCTATCTGTATTATATGTGAAGTGGTTATTGAATTTGAAGGTTTTATTTTTTGTCACTGAGTTGTTAAATGTGGTGGAAGGGATACAAAAGACACAAATTTTACATTTGTTATTTTCATAGGAGTAATAACAATTAGGGGGTTTGGAGGAATTTTTTACTTTTTGGGGATCTGGAATTTTTTGGTTTGACCACAGTCATCTTAATTTTGATTTGTTTGTTTGAAGACTGTGTGGTCAGTGACAATTTAAGTAGATCTCTTGTTTGGGCGGAGACTTGAAGAAATTTGTAACCTTCTTTTAAAACTGTATTTTTTTATATTAACATTTTTTTAAAGAGGTTACCAGGCCTGTTCAAGTTTGGATGCTGCTGATAACATGTAATCATGTCACTTAGATTAAACAGAATTTTCATAGCCTGATTTTTTAAGCACTAAAAATCATTTCTTATACAAATACACTTTGGCTGTAGGCCTATCTATTTCTACTTATAAAAGTCAAATACCATTCACTGACTCACTGATCACTGTATCATCTCAAAAAGTACTAACCACAAGAACTGAGGAATTAGCATGGAGATTCCAATTAGGTTGTGCAATAAGAAGCGTTTTCAAGAAATTCCTTCAGGGCTCTGTCCCAGTGGCCTCTGAAGTTTCCATGTGTAAAGAAAAATAAAAGATTGTTTACTTATGTATTTTGGTAAGGAAATACAACTACTTTATTTCCTTACTTAATTGATCATTCCATCAAATAAAACCACCTCACACCGTTATGTAATACAATTTAGGTATTCCATACAGGTGTGAGTATTATAAAAAGTTGCCCCCTGGTGGGGGTTTGAAAATGAAATTTAATTAATTTAATCAGACAACTGAGGACTAAATCAACCACAGAGCAGTGCGCAGTGGAATTAAAGATGTTAAGTGGGCCCTGTAATTAAATATCCCAGAAGTCCGATTTATGGACCGTGAGAGGTCTGATATGTTGTCCTCCTTCACACCTTCTTCAGCTTAATTCTAACACTTCTTAAAAACTAATAGATGTGTTTATTTGAACACTCCATGAATTGAAATGTGCTACTCTGATGAAAGATTGTGACGTGAATTGACACTCTGTAAAACTGTAAAATTGCAAATAAATTGAAATATTGATTGAAAGTATTTATGAAACTGTTTGTTCAGGAAATATTTACCAAAGGTATGACTTCAAGATGTTTATATATGTGGATTCGGTTAAACCGATTGCTCATGAATTCACCAACTTGATATTAAATATTATGAACTGAACTTATAAAAATTGCACTGTCAAAATATATTCACAAAATGTGATCATCAACACTCATTGTGTATACTTTGTATACTTCTTTCAGTTAAGCCATTTACCTCTTAAATTTATACCAGATTGATACTAAAAATACTAGCTGAAACACAGGTGAATGAAAAGATGGATTTTTGTAAAAATACTGTATAATGAGTTGATAATGAGCTGTGATACAATGATTAACTATAAACAATGTAATAACCTTTTGTGTGCACAATTTAGCAATGTTTTGAAAGAGAGAGTTGATTGTTTGTTAAGTTTGGTGGTTTGCCACATTTTAAAACTACAAAGTCTCGGGATGACCTAGCCTTGACAACTTTATTTATTTATTTTAGGTCACCAGACTCCCCAAAGATGTTCATATGTATATCAACTGGCCAGTTTACAATTCAATGCAACAGGGAACATTACGTAGTCTTGTGATCTACATCACTCCATTGTTGATTAATGCAACGGGGCCAATCGACTACTGAGTCGATTAATTGACGACTTTTATTTAATATTTACACTTTATGAATTTAATGGGAGTCTATCCTCATGACCCTTTATCAACCCTAGCCTTCAACCGAGCACTTTGTTTCCCCCATTTACTTTACACAATCAAACTCTCGCTAATAAAAATGCGATACTCTGTTCAAAAATATTACAATACAAGAAAATTCAAAATGTTAAGAATAGTAATACTGACGATAGAATTTGACCCTTTACATAGAACACAAAAATAATAAATATCACAGATAATCATTGTTCTTAAAATTAATAGACCATTTCAATTTAATTTAATAAATAATTTTCAATTGACTATAATTTCTAATGTAACTTAAATTCTTTGCATGACATGATAAATTCAATTAAATACTTCTCATCCTGAATTGCGACCATGTGCTCTAAGCAGACCAAGTGAAACATGATATTTTCAGACCAACTATGACATGATTTCCGAATGGTAAAAATGACTTGTACATGTGGAAAAATGGCAGATTGGTAAGACTATTTTAACACTAAAACACAAATAACACAAAACATTTACTTACGTACACATGTCGACACATACACATACACTCTCACACGGACGGAACATTTAAAAACTGACTCGTGGTGATTTGTGACTTTGTCTGACCGAGCGAAATTTCAGGACACGGTTTTTTCTGGTGTAGGACTTATTAATTCTTGTTTTTTCGAGCTGGCGTTTAATGATTCAATTGAAAATACCGTCACGACGACCCGCGATTCGCTAGAAACTGACATTTGCTATCGATATGATGCATGTACGAATTTTCATCACGAACGCGAACAATCAATCCGGCATTTCAACTGTCTCAACTTAATACTAATAAAACACACCCCCAAATGCAATTCGGCGAAATTTTGACAATTGCGATCATTTGATGCACGTACAATTTTCGCCCGAACGCGAATTTCCGAGCTACGAATGAAGATATTAATAAATTCGTCCTACACCAGCGACAAAACGCAACTTCACATGTTGACTGCGCGAATACTGAGCCACGAGTGACGACGAGACGTTTGCACACGGCACGGCTCCCAACGGTCTTCCAGTTCGTATCCTTCCGCGTTACGTCATGTTGGACTGACTTGTCCATTGCCTGTCGCGGATTTTAAATCTTTTGATTTTAAAAATCGGCACACATGTTATCCTAAGTCATAAGTTTTTTATTTCATTAAACAGTCTTCACTATAAAAGCAATGGTGAACAGATGCATGGTCAATCAATAAGTTATAAAAACTAAAAAGTTACAACAAGAACTTGTTGTATGTGAAGTTTTGTGAGGTTTTTGGATCAGTTGATGTAATAAAGTACATTTGAGAGAAAGTTACCAATTCAAAAAAAGTTAGCAAAACAAATGTAAATGAAGATCTTAAAGCCATATCAGGGACAAAAACAATAAAAAAACAATCTGAGTCATATTTCACATAAACTAATGGTAAATTAATGTCATGGTCAATGGTCATTTAAGAAATCTGCCAGCGAGTAATATGATTTCTCTACCAATAATGCTTTAGTCCAAATTTTAAATGTTTCTGGTGTGTAGGATTTTATTTTTGAGGGGATCTTATTATATAGAAAAATCCCCTTATAGATGGTGTTTTTTTTTTAATGAGAGTATTTATGAATTGGATAGTTTAGCATGTTTGAGTTTCGGGTATTATAACTATGAGTGGGTCTTAATTCATTAAAAAAGGATATTATTTAAATGAACAAAATATACTATTTCATAGATGTACAAAGAAGTCAATGGCATTATTTTTAATTCCTTAAAAGAACGACGACAGCTTGATCCATATTCTGACCCTATCATCACTCTAATAATACTTTTGAAAAACTTTGCTAATATCCTTTGAGTTTCCCCACAGAACAATTCCATATCGAAGTAGAGAGTGTATATAAGCATAATAAATAATTTTTAATGTTGCTAGTGACACTGAATTTTGAAGACATTTAATTGCAAACCTAAAAGAAGTCAATTTACTTACCAAATATTGAATGTGTGATTTCCAATTGAAACTTTGATCTATATTAATCCTAAGAAATTTATATTTAACAGTGACATAAAAATCAGTTCCATTGAGTTTGTGATTATTGTTATTTCTGATGTGGAATTGCATAATGTTAGATTTGCATTCATTTAGTAAAAGTCCATTTGATTCAAACCATCTCTTCAGTTCTTTTATTGTTAATTTCAAAGTTTTTTCTAATGCAGACAGGTTTGTTTCCTGAACTAATACACTTGTATCATCAGCAAATATAGTACGAACCTTTTGGAAATATGTGCTGGTAGGTCATTTATATATACAGTATAAGAAAGAGTGTGGGTCCTTAAAAAAACGGATCCTTGAGGGACGACAAATTAGTCACCTTTATCTTTATAGAGAAAAGGTTAGTTTACATCTGAACTTGAACAGATGAATATTTTTTAAATTTTATACTACTAACTAAGGGAACAGCTGGTTGTATTTATTCGATTGAAAAGAAAATTATATGCATTATTTAGGGGCTTAAACATTTGTGTTTTACTGCATAACACTTTTTGTAATCGTCAAATGAATTTAAAAATCAAGGAATAACATAAACTTATGTTAACTTTGTTGAAGTTTTTAAGATATGTTTCTCAGCATTTAAATAACAGTATATTGTTTAATGTGTTCAGAATATCAATTTCAAAAGGAACAAATCATTTGCAATAGAGTTTTATCTAATATTTTAAGGGATGGCATCCTGTCGTCTTCTATCACTACTTATTATTTATAACAGGTGCTCAAGATAGAAGATCAGAAGTGCTTGATTAGTTCAATCATTTCCATCCCTAGGCTAATAAAAATTTCACAATCACGCAATTTCAGATGAGTATGCTTCTTTACAATCCCAGTTCACGTATTTAGTGGATTATGTAAAAAGGATTAGCTTTTAACACACTCAGTGCGGCATACCTTCAAACAGGCGCTCGCCAACGTCGACGAGTCCCGGGCGAAGCCCCGCCACGCAACTGAATCGGTGAACGCAATTGGCATTCAAATATTTCAGTCTGACGAATAAAAATAGAGCAGCGGTGATTGTGCTGCGTTAGCCCGAGAGTGGACGAAGTTCACTGAAACACCCAAAGGTAGCAGCACTGCCTGGATCCGTAGCCAGTGTCTTTGAAAAGTGGCTCGAAAAGAGAAAATTGCCGGAACCGGGACAAAAACATTGCCAGACGGGATTTTACGGGAAATTTTAGTACCAACCTACACCAGACTAAAGCTTATATTCTAAGCTACAGGCTGGCAACGATTATAACGTTCCCCGGTAATGGCTGAGCTCACATTGAACAAAGGTTGTTGCTATGCCAACATGACGGGCGCACCCGCCAGACGCCTGTTGTGCCAACTGCGCATGGCGGGCCGGCCCGTCACTCGCGCTCAATGTGTTAATGTTTTTTTTAAGAGGAATTGTATGTATGATATCAGTTTTAATAATTCATTTTACCGGAGGGATGAGAAAAGCCTTTTTTATGTGAGTACATTCCAATTGGTGAAAAAATCATAGACTCTGTAGACCTGCAACAGCTTAGGACCTTTAAGGTTTATAAGAACCACAATAAAACATTGTGCAAGGTTTTTATGTTACTTATGACAGTACTATTGGAAAATTAGTTTTAAGAATGTAAACCTAAGTGAAAGGAGGTAAAGAGGAATTGAGAGGGAATTAAGAGGGAGTTTTTTTCTTTCCAAAAAAATATATGGGTGGTTTCAGAACGAGCAGTTCGAAGCTCCTGGTAGTGGGACAGTTATTGTTGTAAATGAAGAAGTTATCTCTTAGTTGAACTTAAGTGGTCACATATGTTTCACTTAAATTTTGAGCAAAGCCACGACAGGGTAAGCTAGTCTAAATATAAACTTAACTTTCAAAACCCTTAGAAATTTTTCTAATCATATTGTTTGGTTCCAGATGTGTTTTAAGACGACAAAAGTGATTCATGTTGTTTTCAAGTACTTGAACCATCTTGCAATCAAACGGCTAAGACTTCAGACGCTAAACAATGTCTTTGATGAAGGATACATGGGTGCAGACACCAGTGTTATGTCTCATTGATAGTGGTGTTTTAGCGTTAGTGTAAATATGAGTTTGTACATTTTAGATTAGTATTGTTAGTATTGTATTAAAGTTATATCCTAATAAATTAGATCAAACTAGTATCAAACACAAAATATGTACAAGGCTTTTTTTTTCTTTATCTCATTCACATAACTTCACTTACGTTTGATATTTTATAGGAAAAAGTAAACAAAGCAATAGTAACTATAAACAAATAAATAACTATAAAAATATAAAAACTACAAATAAACTAAAATGCTCATTATGAAATATTATGCCTAAGTCTAATTTTTACCAACAATGTGGAAATGCTGCACTCGGCGGCCTACTGCCATTGTAAAAACAGTAATAGGTTATAAACATGTAAACATTAAATCTGTGCTTACACTTCATATGAATTAGTGCCACTGCTGTCTCCGTAGGCCAGGGGCATTGCCACGTTGGCCTCGTTGCAGCCTTCTAATAGATCTATGACAAAACCCAATTTGCCAAGTTCAGGTTTTGTTGAATTAGGTTCTTAATGTTTATTATCAATGGTGAAAGGATTATTTACAAGTTTATTTTGACTCCTTGACCAAATATCGTAAAAATTGTTATATTTTTCATATACCTATTAGTTAATTATAAAATGGAAATAAAAAGTTTAAACATTGATCAGTAGTATTTTTTTCATTTATATTCAATTATATCAGTCCAAATCCTAATGCTGTTTACTTAATAAAAAAAATTAAAAAAATAACTGTTGATAAAGTATGTTAGAGGCAACTGTTTAAATTTGTTTGGATCACAATAGTTATTTGTGTAACTAGTGTGCCAAGTGGCTCTTTGCGCTGCACATGAGAGAAATATTTACTTGAGTGGAGCAAAGGCACTTTGTGCTCGTGTTACACATTATATTTATTATTTTTCCTACAGTTACTTTAAAGCATAGACATAATTAGTCTTTCAAACACTAGGTTAGGTCAAATCCAAGTGTTGAAGGAATTGGCAAACAATGCACCGGCTGATCGTAGTCGTAGTATCTTAATGTACTGCAAACTTATTTTCAACACATTACTTGCCTAATAAAAGCACACTGTTTTGTGTTGTTTGGTTGGAATACTGGAGTGCGGCAAAAGTAAGTAAATTTAGCAATTAGCTGCTTTGCGTGCTATAAGCTCAATCAGTACAAGAAAGCCCACTTTGTCAGGTAACTATAGGAAACAGTTATTCGTGTAACTATTGGGTGAAGTGGTCAAATGAGACAAGTCTGACACAGGAATTCTACTCCCCATGGTCGGCTACGCTACGGCCAATATTCATTGTTGTAGATGATTTTATTAATTAGGTTTATGTAAATCAACAGCTCTTCGGTTAATCATTACCTTCTAATATTCAGTACAGTTACCAATTAATACAATCAACTACAACAATGAATCTTGGCCGATAAGTACGGTAGCGTAGCCGACCACAGGGGTAAATTCCGGTGTCAGGTTTATTGAGATTTTGATAAATTACAACCTAGATTCCGACTGATGATGGACCTTCGGCCCCGAAATTAATTTCGGATCAAAAAACAGGATTGCTAAGGTAAGGCCTTATAATATCAATTAATATATAAGCAATCCAGAGGCTAAAATGATTGAAAATTACAACCGTTAAGTAAACCGTGAGATGTGAGTTGATTGAAATAAATAATAATTTATCCGTCCTAAAAGTTTGTGGCTGGAAATCTACCCCCATTTTGACGTCACAGATCTTGTGACGTCAAAATTACGTACGGTAAATGTTTTTTTTATGGGGATAAATTTCCGGGGGTAGAATTCTGGCGACCCAAAAATGTCAGTAGGCTATTTTATCTCGAGTTGCTTTTACTTTCTCCCCCTATACCATAGTATATGTAAAAAGTATTGTTTTTTTTATTTGGCCATGGACTCTGCCCTTCAAGGCAGTAAGCCTAGGTATATTTACTAATTTTCTCAGGAAAGCTCTTTAACCAAACCAATTATTCTTAATCAGCCTTGTGGATTTTCACTCAGTCAGAATATCTAGTTTGTACTTTACAAGATGCATCTGAGCTACATCATTGTAGAGTTATATGTGCTTCATGTTTATATGAAGTGATTTACAGAACTCAAGCTGTATTATTATTTATTGCAACCTTTTCTTTGCTTTCTAGCATATTGATGTTCAAAAAACTTGAATCACCTGTTACATTAAAATATTTATTTACTCTTTAAAATTAACCTGAACTCAAAATACAAGTTAAAAATCACAATGTGCAAATATTTTACAGAAATTCTAACCGATATGATCAAATAGATGGCCAAAAATGTCGAACCTGTAAGTAAAAACATCACTTCAGATATATTTTTATTTCACAAGAGCTTAACCCTCCGAGTGTCCCTTGTTTTGGCCTTAATGTCTGCCTATTTTTAGCTCATTTGCAAGGTTTTATTAAAACGGATCTGAGAAGCTTAAAAACAATGTTAATTATACTGTTATATATACCATTTTGTTTGGAAAATCATGGGCCTCAATATTATATATAAAACATAAGGAACATTTGTTCAAAAAAAATTTTTAGGTAAAAAAAATATTTTGGAAAATTAAAAAAAAAATAAGTTTGCGCTCAATGAAATTGTATAAATTATAGGCCTATAAATATTTGAAAATAGCCACTTTGTTCTAAATTTTATGAGGATTACAAATATATAATAATATAAGGAAGTAGATTTGCAAATAAATAAGTTATGGGCAAAAAATAGATTTCAGTACATACTACATAGCGTTTAGCTAAGAATGCATAGCCTAACCATAGCTAGAAATCTGGCTGATAATTTACATCAATATCACTACCTACTTCTTCAGGATCATCAACCAGCCCTTCAAAATCACTTAAATCTTCTTATAATGCACCACGTATATCACTACTTTTGATTTTTAACACTAAAAAAATGATAAACGTAATAAAACACATCAGTCATCGGTCCGAGGTTATAACCAAGCTGTTTACAAATACGCACGTCAGCTGTCTGCTCCAATTACGATCGGCTCGGAGAACATAAAGCGCTGAGACAGACCTCTGGAGAAAGCTTAGAATCTAACGAAAAGAACGATACCTAACTCGATCCAGTTCAATCCGATTTTGTCAGTCATAGAGCCTTCGCCGTAAATAGTGTTTGTGTGTCGCTGCAGCGACAAATAACACTCGGAGGGTTAAGAGAAGTACAAGTGGTTCTTTTGCTTTGATCAGTTTGAACCTTAACCTTAGTATTCTGATCCCACTGTAATCCAAAGTCTGTAAATGTAAATAATGTCCTTGATTTTGTTCTAACCAAAGACAAGCAGATCTTGTGAACTTCCTTTAACACTGAAGGCCAGAAAACAAACTATCGGGATACTAAGTAAGACCCTTTAACCCTTTGAGTGCTATGCAACGATATATCGTTGTTTACTAATATCTCTATGACTGGGACGGGTGGCGTCGTCGTGTACTCCAGCTACTAGGAGGTCACGAATTGTGGATATTTATAGGCATGCACTGTGGATGCGATACTCCCTGGTGTGGATTAACGTCCGCACGAGTGAGTACTACGACTATTCAATTAAATTCAATTCAAAGATACTTCATTCACATATATACAAAAGTATACATGAATGGCGTTCAGAACAATACATCATACATTATATCGCCTAATAACTAGATAGAAAATTGATACATTAACATTATACATATAAAATAAATATTTATTTAAATAGGTAACAACCTTACACACTAAAAAATTCCTCAAAACTGTATAGGTAGCGCTTTGGCCACAAGAAATCTTTTTAATTTCCTTTCAAAACATTTTAAACTCTTTTCAGATTTTATGATTTCAGGAAGGTAGTTCTATCCACTAGTAATATCCAAGTAATATATCCCCGCTAGTAATATATATGATATTACTATCCGCAGTACTATCCTGATAATTAGACCAATTCGTATATACTAAGGAAAAATGTGGTTCGGATTCCACTATAAACTGTAGGTCCCTTAGTTGCCATTATCTGCATGGGCTATTAATTAACAGCTGTGTCTAAGGAATGTCGGCCTTAGTCACTAACAAGACTACAAGATCGCGCCACTCATCCTACACTCTCCATCCATACTTGGCTTAAAATACTTACTATGTATGGTCGCCATTTCATTGAAAAGTATTAACAGTAATAAGGGATATAGAGAGGAAGGTTATTTTAACAAAAAGTAGCAAAACGGCCATTGGTGACCTGCATGCTCATAGGATACACTAATAACCACTTAGCTAAAAAATTCGCCCAATCCGATGATTCGAGGTGTATGTCTAAACCATGAACACCTCACTATGCCCCAGTGGTTGTAGTATATCGCTATAAACACACAGGTCACCAATTATTTGCCACACAGGATGGGAATCGAACCCGAGCAAACGAATGCCACTGGCCAAGTGACACACCCCCTAGCCTTCTCGGCTATCTGTGCTTGGAGACAGAGGAGTCAAAAACTGGTGTCTAAGCTGACGCTAACGATTGCGAACAGATCGCGCTACAGCAGGAGCAGGTTGTTCAATGCATTACTAGGGAGCAGCACTAGTTAGTCACGGACTATTTAGATGATATTTTTTTGTTGAACCACAACAAACAGTGATCATAAATTGTGTTACTCAGGCTTTGCTGCAAAAAAGTATTTTTCCTAAAATGGTTATATTACAATAACCTTATCAAACAAAATCAAGGTAAATTCAATATTACATTGTAGACTAGATGACTTTCGATTTTAACCCTCGAGCGGGCGCTTGCAGAGTTTTCCTCCGCACTTGTAGTGTTAGTTAATATAAATATTCATAATGGGTGTCGGCAGTCGTGTCCAGCTCTACACTTCACGCACCTCATCCTGGGATTGTTCCTAAGCTATTTTTACCCCTGAATTCCTCCTCATTTTGTTGTCAGCTGCAATTCAGTGACGCATAGTCAGTTTGCGGAGGTTTACTCCGCGTGCGCCCTATCGCGTAACTCCTTAGCGCAGAGTTTATTTCCTCATGCACTCTTGTGAAACTGCGTGTAATATTTTATACATACAACATTATAAACTTGAAATCCATGGTGATGGTTTTCGGCGTAAACCGCGCCGTCAGTTGTATATCACTGCCAGACGTTTCGCCCTTACTATGAAGTGGCATCCTCAGTGGCTAGGCTGAGACTAAGTCAGAGAAGTCCGTCCAGGTATACTATATAGCTAGGGTGAGGTCATTGGCGTGCGCGTGGAATGCAGGAATGCATACTCCCCTTGCTCTGGCTGTTTCTAGTAAACAAGGTGACGTAATACCGGATTCCATGACTGTGGAAGCTTGTAGCTGTCATCTTTATTGAAATTATCTGGATGTTTTTTGATTTCAATAGCTTCTCTGATTTTTCTATGGTAGAAATAAGGTTCTTTAGCGAGTACTTTAACTTTGTCAAATTCTATGGCGTGTTTCGTTGTAAAACTGTGTTCTGCTACTGCCGATTTTTCAATATTTTCCTGTTTTGTCTGGCGAATGTGTTCTTTCAATCTAGTTGAAATCATCCGTTTGGTTTCTCCGATGTAAACTTTTCCACAGGAACAAGGAATCTTGTATACACCCGGTGCACTTAGGGGTAATTTGTCTTTTCCATTGGGTAGGAGTGAGCTAATTTTTCTCAGAGGCCTATATACTGGTGTGATGTCGTATTTTTTGAGAATCCTGCCAATCTTCTCCGATGTCCCTTTCACATAAGGAAGATACGAATTGTGTCTTCTCCTACTGTTGTCACTGACTTTTTGGTTATCAGTTGCTGCTACTTGTGCTAGCCTACAATCCTGTCTCTTAAAAGCTCTCTTGATATCCTTTTTACTATAACCGTTGCTTAAGAGGGCCGAAGTTATCATTTTTTCTTCACTAATCCTGTTTTCCATGTCTGAGATACGGATTGCTCTATTTATCAGTGTGTTTAATATGCCGTTTTTCTGTGCCGGGTGGTGATGTGACTGAGCGTTTAAATATCTGTTGGTATGCGTTGGTTTTCTGTACACAGCATGGCCGATTGTTCCATTTTCCTTCCTTGTAGTTAGTACATCCAAGAATGGCAGTTTCCTGTCTCTTTCCTCTTCCATCGTGAACTTTATGTTGGAGTTGATACTATTGAGATGGTCCAAAAACTCTGTAAGCTTATTTCTCCCGTGAGGCCACACTGCCCAGACGTCGTCCACGTATCGGAGCCAAATCTTGGGTTTTAGGATCGCAGACTCTAATGCATTTCTCTCAAAATTTTCCATGAATAAGTTGGCTGCTACAGGAGATAACGGTGAACCCATCGCTGCCCCTTCTGTTTGTTCAAAGTATTTTCCATCGAAGTAAAAATACGTGGAATTTAGGCAAATCTCTGCTAACTGAACTAAGCTGTCATCCAGGAGTGTTCTTATGATGTCTACTGTTTCTGGAATAGGAATGCTAGTAAAAAGTGATTCAACGTCAAAGCTCACTAAGATATCATTATCATCCAGTTTAACGTGCTTAATAATTTCGATGAAGTGTCTGGAGTCCTTAACAAACGATTCAGTCAGCCCAACGAACTCAGAAAGATGTTTAGAAACAAACTTGGCGATGTTGTACGTAGGTGATCCTATTGAACTGACTATGGGTCGCATAGGAATCCCATCCTTGTGAACTTTGGGAAGACCGTAGATGATCGGAGGTCGTGGATCAGAGTTAATAAGATGGCGTTTGTATTCTTCACTAAGCTGTGGCGTAGAACGAATGAGTTTGTTGACTGATGTAGTAATTCTAGATGTGGGGTTGCGAATGACTTTGTAAGGACCTTCATTTAGCATCTTTGTCATTTTGTTTTTGTAGTCTTCCTTCTTCATGACGACTGTTGCATTGCCTTTGTCCGCTGGAAGTACAATTTTTGAATCATCCTTGGATAATTTGCGTAAGGCGAATCTCTCCTCCCGGGTTAAGTTAGATTGCGGTGGCTTGGCTTTCCGTAGTACTGCTGAAACCTCCTGTCGAATTTCTTCAGACTCCACAGTTGGAAGATTCTTAATAGCGTTTTCAACAGCAACGACAATTTCCTCCGTAGGTATTCTGTTCGGAGCAATAGCGTAGTTCAGTCCTTTTAAAAGAAGAGACTTTGTAGCTTCATCGATGTTTTCATCCGTGAGGTTGATAACCATCTTGTCGCTGTCAATTACTGGAGGAGCCGGTGAGGCAGATTGTTTTACGAGAAGAGAATTAAACTTTATTAATTAAAATTCATATATTGAAAAATCGGCAGTAGCAGAACACAGTTTTACAACGAAACAC